TCGCAGTGGTGGTCCTGTACTTGGACCCTGGAAAGTCTGAACAGGATCCCATGGGATTTACTGTATCCCTTCCTTCCTTCCTTCCAGATCGGCATCCAGAACTACTCAACCACCACGAGCTGCCAGTCGCACCCCAACCAGACACGCAGTGATTATGGGAAGCTCTTTGTGGTCCTGGTGATCATCGGCTCCATCTGTGCCATCATCATTGTATTGGGGCTCATATACAACTGCTGGCAGCGACGCCTGCCCAAGATGAAGAACATGGTGAGCACTGGATGAGCAGAGAAGGTGGCTAAACTCTTAGCTCTTGGGATGGAGGGGATTGGGAAGTTGAGGGAGGTGGATTTCCCCTGTCCACTTAGCTGGATACACTGCTGGAGCAGCAAGGAAGCCCATTCAAGTGTAAGAGATTCAAAGCTGTGCTCTTTGCCACTGTGAGGGCTGGGCTAGGAGTAGATGTTCCTTTTTGCACTGACCCTGCAGGGTCCCTGGTGGCCCTCAGAGCCTGTTGTGATTGTGCTCCTCAGCAGCATTAAGACCTGTCCCCCTTTGTCTCCATTTGTGTTCCTCACAGTCACACGGCGAGGAGCTGCGCTTTGTGGAGAACGGCTGCCATGACAACCCCACCTTGGACGTGGCCAGTGACAGCCAGTCGGAGATGCAGGAGAAGAAGCCGAGCGTGAATGGTGGGAACACCATCAATGGGCCAGAGAGCTGGGATGTGCTCATCAACAAGCAGGCGAGCGAGGACGTGGATGTGTTTGAGGAAGACACGCATCTCTAGAACAGGAAGGGAGGGAACCACCCCCTCACATACACTTGTCTCTCTCCTATCTTAACTGATGGACCACGGGATCAGGTGGCTTCTCAGGAACTTCTTAAAGGCTTGGAAGAGGTCAAGTCTTTGTGGAAGTTTTCCCAGTGGAAGTCCTGAGCCCGCATCTGAGGCTTGGAGCCAGGAGGATCCCTGACCAGAGGGAAGCGGGAGGGGTGGGTTTGTAGGTCTCTGTGTGTGTGTTCCTATCAGTAGCACCAATGCTTTCATCGCCTTTAAATGCACTTACTGTAGCTCTCTGGTAGTGGCTGAGAGTGGCTGGGCTTGAGAAGCAAGGTGGAGAGGCTGAATCTGCCAGCAAGAGTCCAGCTCTGAGAGTAAATTCCCTTTGGGAGTGCAGCTGGAGTTCTGGCAGCCAGATCCTGACCTTGAGATCATGCTCAGTCCCTGCAGGTGCAGTAAAACCTCTGCATTCCAGGTGGAGGGGAGCGAAGACTCAGTGAGGTCCTGGTCAGAGGTTGCCTTCCACAGCTGAAAAGAGGTTTTGTAGTGCTCTAGTGCTCAGCTGCTGGTGAGGTGAGCTCTTGATACTGGGGAAAACGTCCTTCTGTTATCTCATTTCCCCCACACACCACAGACAGCCCCGTTCCAGCTCCCTAGCTGCAGGCTGAGTGTGCAGAGTTTGAGCACTTTACCCTTGCTTTGACTGATTGCAGAGAATTCAGTGCCATGGAACAGCATCTTAGCTGGAAATCCGCTTTAGGTCAGAGAGTTGCTGGGAAAGGTCATTTGAATGCCTCTTTCATGCAGTAGCCTGTGAAATGAGCAGCAAAGTATCCCTGTGTGTCTCAGTTTTAGAGTCCACCCCTGTTTTCCAGGGTAGTTTGGTTTCAGTGGGTCTTTTTGAGGTACATGCAGAATATTGGGGCTTTTCAAAGGGAGAGAAGTAAGAAGTCAGACACAGCCAATTTTCTGGTCCTTTTGTTTCCTCCTCAGCATCCTGCCCGGGGGGGGGGGGCGCTGTTTATTGTCCCACCTGTGTAAATCGGGGTAGCATCTTTCAAACCACTGCATTTAAGCAAGCCGAAAAGCCAGTTCGGATGAGATGAGATCTAAGAGGTCCCCAATGAACGTTGCTCAGGAATGCCTCAGGCAACTTTGAGGCTCCAGCTCCTCCCTGAAGATGTGTAATAAAAGGCACGTGAATGCATAATTGTTCTCTGAGCCCTGCCTAAACTCAGAACTACAGTGGAGCCCGAGATCCCAGAACATTGTTTCTCTTGTCATTGAGGGACTGAGGGGCTTGCTTTGGTCAGATGCAGCAGTATTCCTCTGTTAGGTGATGTGTGTGCTTGCTTACTGCAAGGTGCAGCTTTGCCTTTGGTCTTTAAGGGAGCCTTTGTACAGAAAGACCCCAGATGTGCAGCCTGATGCCGAGCCTGTAAATCTATCCCTGTATGTACAGATCTTTTTAGCATGTTCACCCCTGGTGTGGGTGCCTCAAGTCAAGGTACACAGTCTGCTGGTTCATTCTGCATAGCGCTTTGCATGCAGACTGAATCACAGATCACCTCGATGGAGGACCACTTTGCTATCAGTCTCTTAGGGATTCGTGAAAGGTGACAATAGCCTTTGGTTTCCTATCCAGATTCCGGTTTCCTATCCAGATTCCAGTTTCCAGTGGTTTTATCCCACCTCCACACCTTTCCCTGTGTTACGTAGGAGACGGTGATCATCAGCTCCTTTTGGATCTTGTTAGTTGCAGCGATGCTCAGAGGAGTTCCTTCTCCCCCCCATCAGTTGATAAAGGGGGACAGTCCATGGATATGGACATCCACCCAGTGGCCCTTCTCTGACCACCCTGATGGCTCCTGCTGAGCGGGATGGATCTGTGCAGTGGAGCTGCCCAGGTTCAGTGGCTGTGTTGATGGCACTTTGGGGCTCACAGGATTAAATGCGAGTTGTTGTTACAGTACAAGGAGTTCATTAAAGCATGGAGTTAAGGTTTGAGTTTGTATAGCACTTAGCATAATGAGGCCCTTAGGCACTGTCACCATCTCAGTGTTTCAAAGTCAAATAATCCTCATTAAAGATGTTTTTAATGCTCAGTGGCTATTAAAATAATAATGCCACTGATAGATGTGAATCAGTTCACCCACAAAACACTTCTTTGGTGCCCATTATCACCAGGAGCTGCTTTGCTGCCCTGTTTTCTCTCCACTTTACTAATCAGAGAGACAGCAAGGTGCTGATAAAGCAGTGCTGGGCTTAGCACCTCCTGATCTGGTGTAAAGTGCTCAAACTGTAAAGAAACCAAGGGGGCTTTGTGGGCTTATTCATAAACTACCAGATTCTCCTCATTCACTCTTCCAGCTTCTTATGGCCTCAAGTTTTGCAGACTGTGGAGCTCTCTTCTGTGTCCAGAGCATCCAGGTGGTCTTGAGAGTGTCCAAGGGTGGCTGTCACGAGGCTGCAAACACCTTTCTGCTGTCTCTGACAGAGTGTACCCGGCTGTATGATCTCCATTTAGCCCTGGACATCCCTGGTTAATAGCATTTCACTTTAGTCTGGTGATAACTTTTCCTACCTTCTTTCTCTGTACCGTGTTTTTGCACTAGGCAGATCTTGTTAAGTCGATTGCACTGTTGTCCCTCTCCCCCAGCCCTGCAGAGAAGGGTCATCCAGGACCTGCGGGCTGGGGAGCACTGTGGAGCCCGCTCCCTCTTGTTGTTCAGCGCTTGGGTTTCCAGCTCTGCGCAGGGAGGATTTAAAGAGAAACTTTGTCTCAGCGTTTGTAACGGGAAGCTTTTCTATCACCTTCATGTAGTTACACTTCTTTTTAACAAAAACTGTCAAAGCTGGACTTGGAGTGGTGTGCCCGGCAAAGCCAGCCCTGAAGAGCCGTGTTCCTTCTTGGTCATCACCGTGTGGTCCCATCGGCCAGACGTTAGATCGCACTGACACCTGGTGGCTGCTGGGAGGTGGAGACGGAAAAGAAGATGGACAAAAAGGACTTTCTCTTTCGGTATTTGATTCCTATGGTTTGCCCAGGCCTGTTGCCTGCTTTATTGATGAGGGGCTTGCACCAGGCTCCTGCGTGATGGTTTATGTGAGGATATCCCCGTATGCAGAGCAAGGAGATGGGATGTTGTTGCCCACATGTCTAGAACAGCGCCTGTAATGTGGAGTCCATCATGTGCTGGGGCTTTGCATCCTGCAGAACACCGTAAGGATCCCTCCAGACAAAGGGTTCAGGGTGAAACGGGTATGTTATCATATGGATTATTGCAGTATGACCGTAGAGCATCGCAGCAGGACCCCACTGCAGCCACTGCCAGCAGCAGCAGCTCACCCGCTCCAGCCAGTCTCCGCAGCCATGCAGGAGCACTTTTCCTTCACAGAGGGTCTGGGGCAACTCAGACAGTCAGAGACAACACCCACATCATCTGTGCTCATCATGGGAGCCTCGTGGGCTCATCCCGGCCAACAACCAGGCTCCCAGCCCTTCTTCTCACCACCCTCATTCCTGCTGGACCCAGACATCTGCAGGCCCTGCCCGCTGCTTGGGATTGCTGCCGGGGAACACTCACAAACACTTGCGTCCGGCCCTGGGAGCGACAGGGTCGTGGTTTTGTTTTCTTTGCAATAAAACACACCTCCTGGGTGGCTGAACACTGCCCCAGCCCTGTGCTTTGCTTGGGAGCTCATGTCTGCCCTATCCGTTAACACAATGTTGGCCAAGGTCCCTCGGTTCACCCATGGGCTGTGGGAAGCTGTTTTCCCTGTGGGGTGACATCCTATGTCCATGGGGTGACATCCTGGTGTGGATGCTGTCTGCTCTATCCCCATGGGGCCAGCCCAGGACCCCTCTTCCCTGCTAGGGTGGTTTATCACAACCCCCCTTCCAGAGCAGAGCCTCTATGTGTGCATGCATCCCTGTGCCACGTGTGTCCTGGAGTGGGTGCCCCCACCAGGTCCCTGCCATGTCTTCCAGAACCCACTCCCACCCCCATTCTGGACCATTCCCCCCTCAGGTATGTTGCAGAGCATCTCCTATCCTCATTCCAAAGCAGATTCCCCCTTCATCCCTTCCCCAGCGCCACGCCGTGTCCTACCCTTGGACCACGGTTGCTCCTCCAAGCCGCGTGGGGGCGCTGCGCTACCCCGTCTCTGCGCGTTGCCGCTCTGCCCCCTGCGCCGTGTTTACCTCCGCCGTCGCTTCCGCCCTGCTGCCGCCGTCGCCGCCGCTGCCCGGTGCGGTCCCGGTCCCGCGGCTCCCTTCGCCCTCCGCGTCAATGCGGCGCCGCCGCCCCGCGGCCTGCCCCGGCCATGGACACCAGCGACCTGTTCACCAGCTGCAAGAAGGGGGACGTGAGCCGCGTGCGGTGAGCAGGGCCGGGACGGGGATAGGGATAGGGAGGGGGTGTCCTGGGTCCCGGTTACCCGGCGTCCTTCCGCTGCCTTTAACCGCTGAGCTCACCGCGGGACACCGGTGTCCCGGCCCCGCCGTGTTGCGTTACGGCCTTCGGCCGGCCCGGGGACCGCGCCCGGCGCTCCCTGTCCGGTAACCGGCGGGGTCTGTGGTGCCGGTAGGTACCGGGGGGTGGGAGGGAGCGTTTATCCCGTAAAGACGCGTCCCATCCTTTATCCCGGAGGAGCTGGGCTCCCGCTGAGCCCTTGCTGTGCTCCCGGTGTGTGCTTGTGAGACTCGGGAGCGCTGCCAAAGCAGGGGGACAAGGCGACCGCACGGGTCTGAGTGAGGAGCTGAGCTGCTTGGGGTGAGGAATGTGGTCAGAGGGACCTGGAGTCTGGGATGGGGAGGATGGAGGGGGTGAAGGGTGAGAGCGATGTGGGGGTGAGTGAAAACCAAACGACTTGAGAGGGGTTGTGGAAGCCAAAAGGGACTTTACCCGTGCTTAGGAGAGGTGGGTGTTGCAGTAGTGGGGGACAGGCTGGCTTCTAGAGGTGCCTGGGAGGGAGCATTGGCAGCATTTGATACAGCCTAAATGTGCAGGACAAGGCAAGGGCAGGAGTTAAGAGCAGTCTGGAGTGGTGTTACTTGTGGCAGAAGGAGCCCAGCATTGGCCTTGTAGGCTTGGCCACTGAGTTGTAAGCATCCCGGCTGCGTGTGTTGTTGGAGGCTGAAGGTGCTGCTGAAGTGCTCAGGCTTCTTTTGTGATGGCTGCCCAGTGAGGGGTCAGCAGGAGGTGGGTTTGATTCTGCTTTTTCGTGACATCCACCACTTCAGATGGAATGGAGCTGCAGAGTGCTGCTCTTTGGGTTGAGGGTTTAACTTCAGCCATAGCTGACAGCCCCTCGAGATCCTGTCATACCTTCAGGAGTTCCTGTAAACCTCAGAGTTAGAATCATAGAATAGTTAGGGTTGGAAAGGACCTTAAGATCATCCAGTTCCAACCCCACTGCCATGGGCAGGGACACCTCACACTAAACCATGTCACCAACCTGGCCTTGAACACCGCCAGGCATAGAGCATTCACAACTTCCCTGGGCAGCCCATTCCAGTGCCTCACCACCCTAACAGTAAAGAACTTCTTCCTCATATTCAATCTAAACTTGCCCTGTTTAAGTTTTAACCCATTACCCCTTGTCCTATCACTCCAGTCCCTAATGAAGAGTCCCTCCCCAGCATCCTTATAAGCCCCCTTCAGATACTGGAAGCGTGCCCTGAGGTCTCCACGCAGTCTTCTCTTCTCCAGGCTGAGCAGCCCCAACTTACAGCTTTTGAAAGAGATGTGACTGAGTGGCTGCTTGGTAACTCTGCTCTCCCTTTACTTCCAGATACCTCCTCGAACAGCGAGATGTGGAGATCAACGTCCGTGATAAATGGGACAGCACCCCTCTGTGAGTGTCCCGCTGCAGCCCGGGCTGGGAGCAGGAGGGGAGAGAGCTCCTGGGCTCTCTCTGCAGCAGCTGCCAGCAGCACTGTTACTGAACACCCTGGGTTCTGCTTCTGGGGAGATGTGGTGACTTTCTGCTTCTTTGTTGTGTCCTTCCCTCCCCACCTGACTGGCACTTGCTGCAGTAACGCTCAGAGGGGGTGGGATGATTTTGTGACTGCATTACCTGGATTAGGCAGCCTGGTTTTGGCTTGATCAGCCTTTCCCCCCTGAAAGCCCAGGGCATTTTAAGGTGTCTTTTCAGGTGAAGGCTTTCCTTGGTAGAGTGCAAAGTAACTGTGGGGTCACGGGCTCTCTGGCAAGGCTGCGAGCACACAGTAGGTAGTGAGGAATCCCCATGCTGGAGCTGAGGAGTAGAGTGAGCTTTTTGTCTCCCTGCATACCAACTCCGAAGATACCTGTGACATATTTAGAGTATGGAATAACTTCCCAGTGTAAAGGTAGAGTAACATTTGCCTGCTGCAATGTGCATTACAGGATTCTCCTAGTTTGCAGGACAGCTTGAGGTCCTTGTGGGAGAGAAGAATGAAAGGCTGAGGTTGTGAAAGAGGAAACAAAGCTTCTAGGACTTTGAGGGGTGTACATCTCATAGCTGTACATCTTGTAGCTGTGATAGCTCTTCCCTTGCTGTCATAGCCTGCAGCGTTCACACTGACAACAGAAGGAGCAAGGAGTGGTTTTGGGAATTCAGTGGAATTGCTGAGCGCCCATGGAATGAACTCTGTTAAAACGAGGATGGATTTGGCAGCTGCTGGTGCAACAGAAGATGCTGAGCCCAGATTGGAACCTTGAGATCTCCTTGCAGGACAGCAGTGACAGGGAGTGCTCGGAACAGATCCTGCTTAGTGTCCTGCTGGGGTCTATGCTATTAGGTGGCAATTTGTCACTCCTGTGAGGAGTTATCTTCTATGAGGGATGCTCAGTTCTGAGCTCTGCGCGCTGTGGTGTGCCTGAACACTGAATTTGGCTTCTTATTGTATCGCTGATTTTCTTTCTGTTGTTGTTGTCAGGTATTACGCTTGCCTCTGTGGACATGAGGAGCTTGTACGCTATCTTCTGGCCAATGGTGAGCAGAAGCACCCTGATTATGGGTGCAATATCTCTCTCCATGGGGATTGTGTATCCCTCTAGCTGTGCCTCGTGGAAACTTCTGTTACAATGAACCATCTGATAAGTGATCTCAGGCTGCAGTGGGAGCTCTGGACACGCATTCATGGTCCCTTTTGCAGGCCATTTGCTGCTTGAATTTTGCTACAAGGACACTTTCTGTGGTGAATCGAGGCAGTGTGAACTTTCTGAAGTCACAGCTGATGTTTTGTGAGGGGGTGTTGCTGTTGGGAGTTTGCTGATGTAAGAACCGTGCTTCATCTGAGGAGCTGTCTGTGTAAAACCTTCTTGTACTCTTCCTGCAGCCTTGCTTTGTAAACAGGACTTAATGGGGAAACACAAGGGCTTTTCAACTCATTTAGTGACCATTCAGGGACTCTTGATTGAGCACTGCTGGCATGTTCCTGTGATCATTTTGCAGGAGCGAAATGTGAAGCCAACACCTTTGATGGGGAGCGTTGCCTCTATGGAGCTTTGAGTGATGCCATCCGCCGCCTGCTGAAGGAGTACAAACAGATCACAGCAAAGTGCATGAAGAGGGACTACTATGATGTCTTCCTGCAGCGGTAAGCACATGGGGCAGCTCTGTGTGCAACACATTCTGCCATCCTTCCTTAGCTCTAGAAGCAGCAATCTTGTTTTTTTCCCTTTTAAAGAAGAGGGGATGAGCATGCAAACATGAACAAAGCTTCATCTCTGATGTGGTAATAGCCAGCATTTCGTGCTTGTAACATCCTGCCTTCTGAGGGTGGATGACTTCATGTCCTCTCCTATTTGCTGTGTGGTTAAAACGTGCACACTGACAGCGCAGGGAAGTTGCATCTTGCTTTGTAGTGGGGTAGTCCTTTTTCAGAGTGTGGGCTTCTGCAGGGCTTCTTATCAGCTGCCAATTGAAAAGCAGAATTAACCTTCGGAGTTGTGTTTGGGGGCAAGTAGTTCTGCTTTGAAGTGTGCCCTCTGTGTTCTGGTGTTAACCTGAGGCAGGTTTCATTCTCCAGTCTCCCTCTTGCACTGACAAAACTGGAGTCATTGGAGGAAGTGAGAGACTCCAGTTTATGTGAGGTTCCCATCCTTGTACTGGCCTCTAACTGGGCAGAGGGAGACTGCAGTGCCAAGAAGTATGTGTTGATTCAGACCTCATTGCACCATGACCCCCACATGCTTTTACTCCGTGCTCCTTTCTCATTCCCCTCTCTGTGTTCCTCACAGGCTGCTGGAGCAGGGTTACCAGAGCGACATCGTTTTCATTGTTCATGGCAAATCCTTCTGCGCCCACCGCTGCATCCTCAGCGCTCGCAGCGCCTACTTTGCAGAGATGTTTGAGACCAAATGGAAGGGGAAGAGCATGATAGTGTTGAAGCATCCACTGGTGAGCAAGGCCCTGCTTTTTCCCCTCTCTTCTCCCCAGCTCTTCCCTTTCTTTTCCTGTCTCAGCTGGGTGAGACAAGTCAGTAGGAAGGACAGTTTGAGAGTTCACTTCCACAGTGAATAGCTCCTGGAGCTCAGAATGGCCCTAAGTCAAGGAGAAGGGCTTGTGGAAGGACTTTATGCCATAAAATAGCATCTTGCTCAGATAACAGAAGGCTGTAGACTGTGACTTCCCCTTTGTTCCCTCTGTCATGGGCTCAACCATGTCTTAATTAATGGCAGCAGCAGGTAGCTGTGACCATCTGCCAGCTGTGTCAGGACTCCTCTGTGGGATGAGTTGGGTCTGTCTGATTCCTGGGGGACAGGTGGTCTGTGGTGAAGACGCCACCTCCATAATTGGTGCTAATTGAGTCCCTTTTGTTGCCTTTGCAGCAAGAACTCAATAGGCCATAAGTGCATTTCATCCATTAATCACCAGTACTCTGGCATATGTTTCTATAGGTTCATTGTGGCTTTGCCAGACCACTTGTGACAAGCATACTTCCAGTTTCTCAGGATATTGCTTAATGTCTCTTCTTTCTCTTTGCACAAGAACACATCCTCCCTCTCAAATTAAGAAGAGAAGCTTGTGACCAGGGAAAGACTGGATTTTACGGAGGCCATATTTCAGCTGTGTCTTTGGAGTGCCTCCATTAGTCAGGTCCTGTCCCCCCGGGGCACATGGATTAGTATCATCTGGTACATTTAAAGAGCTGTGCGAGCCAGGTGGAGTGGCAGCATTAGTCACACTGGGAGCAACGAAACTTGGGTGCAGTGTGTGAGCTGCTATTTAAATGTTTCTGTTTGTATCAGGCAAGTTCAAGCTTGTTACAAAATTTCTGGGAATTCTAAAGGTAACTTTTCCTTGGTTTATTTTAGATTAATCCAGCAGCCTTTGGCTCTCTTCTGCAGTACCTATACACAGGTATGTGGCTTCCTCTCTTGTGTATGCATGTATAGCTGGTAGGGAACTGGGGGTGCCTCTGCCTTAGCAGTGAGTGGCCCAGGCTTGCAGGCAGCAGTGTTTGAGTGTCAGAGTCACCAGCATCCTCTCTGCTGGCACAAGGGGAGGATGTGAGTAATCCCCAGCTCTTACACGGCGTTTGTACCTTTTGCCAGTTGTTTTACTGCCAATAACATAACTGCAGTCAATTAAAACAAAATCAGCTTAGGTTGTGGTTGGATGGGTGTGAGAATGTATTGACTTAAGGAAGGTAAATCTTTCATCTGGGATAGCAATCCCTTGAGGTGGTGAAAAGCCAGCTGCCCATGCAGGACATTGAGTCTGGCAGACTGAGCAGTGTGTGCTGAACACTTTGGCTGCTTTCTAATATTTCTTCTGAGCAGAAGTTGATCCTAAGCCTTCAATGAAAATGCCAGTGTTGCATTGCAGGCATGCTAAGTGCCGAACTCTTTCAGGCCAGGAGGTGGTGCCAGAAAATAACTTTCTCTTCAAGGTTCTCCTTCCCCAGTCCAGTGTTCTCAGAAATGTTCCTTGCCACGTTTTCAGTGATGGTAAAACATTCTGGGATGGCAGCTTGCGAGCATAAAGTCTGCTGTTACCCGTGCCAGGTAACAGCAGCCATGCATGCTGCTGTTGTGCTGTTAGTTTTAATCTTCTGAGGGAATTAAATGTCGTCTGCATAAAGCCTGATCAGTCTTTGAATGAATGAAATTCAAGGCTATGAAATGAAATTGAAATGAAGGCTTGAAATGAAATTTCAAGGAGAAAGTTGGGGCTATTCAGCCTGGAGAAGAGAAGCTGCATGGAGACCTCAGGGCAGCCTTCCAGTATTAGAAGGGGGCTATAGGGATGCTGGGGAGGGACTCTTCATTAGGGACTGTAGTGATAGGACAAGGGGTAACGGGTTCAAACTTAAACAGGAAGTTTAGATTGGCTATGAGGAGGAAGTTCTTTACTGTAAGGGTGATGAGGCACTGGAATGGGTTGCCCAGGGAGGTTGTGAATGCTCCATCCCTGGCAGTGTTCAAGGCCAGGTTGGACAGAGCCTTGGGTGACATGGTTTGGTGTGAGGTGTCCCTGCTCGTGTCAGGGGGGCTGGAACTGGATGATCTTAAGGTCCTTTCCAGCCCTAACTATTCTGTGATTCTGTGAAATTCAAGGCCTCTTGAATGACGCTGGAAAGTGGGAATGTGAATTAAACTGAGATTCATCAGAGTGGTGGGGTACCAGGTCTTAGCTTCTTGGGCTGAGCTGTAACTGGATGCTGGAAAGTGAGGCAGTGTCTCCAAGTGCTCGATTTCTGTGCCATCAGGTCTTCAGTCTTTAATCTTTGCCATCTTTACACTCAAGTGATGTGTTTAAAGAGCTGGTTTCTTCTTGGCAGGGCGTCTTGACATCGATGTAGAGTATGTAAATGACTGCAAGAGGTTAGCTAAGCAGTGCCGGCTGCAGGACCTCATAGATGATTTGGAGACCAAATGCAAAAAAGTCTATGAATTTGGTAAGCATTTTACTGTCTGTTTCCTCTGCTGTGCTCATGATGCCCTTCTGGGGACCAAGAGCAAAGTGTGACAATGCCCTTGGGGCTTCCAGAGAATGATCCTGTTGTGGCATTCCCATGTTTACATGCTGGTTTTGAGTCCTGGCTCTCTGTAGGGCAGCTGTAGTGGTTTCTGACACATGCATGTTTATTGTGTATAGTGAATGTTTTCATTACAGCAGAGCAGCCATAGCAGCAGGGCTTTGCTGTGCTTGCCAGCCATTCAGTGGAGCGCTGTGGGATGTATTGGGAAGTGCCTTTCAGCAGAGAGCTTGTTTAAATCCCTGGGGAGATGAAGTATGTACAGTTTCAAGTCCTGGTCTGCATTTATTTGACCCGTAACCAAAGTAAAATGTTTGATAATTGGCTCAAAATGAATGCAGAGAAAAATAGACCACTTTGAAATACAGGAGTATTTCTGAAAGCACATGTGTGTTTATAACACGTGTATGAGCCAAACCTTAAATGACACAATTCTCTATTTAAGGGCTTTTAGTTATCCAAAGAGCTTATGATCTAATCATGACATCAGCTTATTGCATGAAGACCAGCAGTTGGAGTTTATCATCCATCTCCGTAGTTCAAAACAGCCCCAGCAGGGCAAGGCAGTATTAGTCAGTAGAAATAATCATCTGGTAACAAAACCTCCAGGCTGAAAACATGTGACTCTCATTTCATGCTGAGTTAACTTCTTTACTTCAGTCAAGTTAATTTAGGCTTGAGAAGAGAGTCTGGTCTGTAGCTTGATACAACAGGTAAAGGTGTAGCTATTCCACTTTTCCCATCTGAACTGTGAGTTTTGATAATTCAGCCTCCTGAAGTTGCAAAGCTTAACAAATAGAGACAGTACTTATGGCTTAAGAAATTCCTAATCTGCAAATCACTTGGAAGATACTATCATGTGTATGTCTCCCCTTAGGAATGTTCGGTGGTGTACAGGCTACCACTGTACAGCTGTTTCATGTAGACCAGAGTGCGAGTCCCAATGAGAGCTGCATCCTGAGTCTTTCCTCAGACATGTAAACACAAATGTAAATGTGCATCTGAAGAGATTAGAAATGCATTTCTTTGTTTCTTGCTATAAATAGTGTAAGATACCGGTTTGTGTATTAAATAAATGGTGGACAAGGGGAGTGGTGGTAAATACCATCAATAGGAAACAAAAGTTACTCAGACAATCGGGTAACAAACTTATCTTGTGGCATCTTTTGATATCAGAGAAATGCAGTGAGATGCTGGAGTTATTTCCCTCCCCTTTTTTTCCCTTTGTATCTTTTTTCCCTAGGATGTAGCTGAGGCCCTGGAGGCACCCATTGCACCTTAATACATCAAGTTAAAACCTCATATTAGATTGTGGGAGAAAAATAAGGTGGACAGCTTGCTAGCTGTCTGAAGCCATCGTGTAGTGTGTCATTGGGTAGTTAAGCATCATAAAGTCCAGTGGTTAAACTTGTGAACTGCAAAAAGCTGACTTCTTGGCAGGGTTTAACAGTAGCAAATGGTGAAGGAGCATTTCAGGCTGGGAGTTTCAGATATAAGCTCTCCTCAGGAATGTAATAGACTTCCTGGATGGCACTGGACAAATAGTGCAATTTCTGTGTTATTTGGAGCAAAGAGTTGTTTGTCATTTCTGAGGCCTAACAGAAAACACAATCAATGGGTGGGGTAAAGCACTGATGGAAATACTAGGCTTGACTTTCATTTATGACAGGTTGGAGTCAGTTGAATAGACAGAACTGCTGAGAGGTCTGTTAAGAGTTTAACACGTTTCTCTCATCAGATCTCATGTGGAAGGGAGGAAAACTTGTTTCTCCAGGAAGTAATACGTATAACAGTTCCAGAAGTTAAAAACTGGGAGAGATCTTAGGTCACATCGTGGCTGGCACTTGACAAAACACTGCTTTTCCTTCTAGTGCAGTAGGAATCTCTGCTTGTTCAAGTGCTCTCTGTGCCATAGACATTTGATTCAGGTCTGCAGAGCACGGTCGTGTCTTGCATCTGCATTACAAACTTGAAACGTGCCTAATAAACCAACATGAGCTCAAGCCCGTGCAGCTCCAGTGGATAACTGCAGCCTCTGCAATCTCATTATCTAGAGTTAATCAGCATTTCAGAAGCACTTAGGATCTTGCCATGCACAGAGAGTAGTTCAGGAAACCCTGATGAGTATGACCCAGTGCCTTCTGTTGCACCTGAGATGGACTTCAGTGTGAGGGCTTGCATATTGCCCTTTGCATTTATATAGTGCTGTAACAAGAAACTATTGTGGCGTTTGGAAGAGCTCAGGCAGGGTTTGTCCAGATTCAACCATAGTGCTTCCTTCAGAGGTATTTGCAAACAATTTGCAACCTGAAGGTTGGGATACCAAATGCTGTGCTCTTGAACCCAAGAGCTGCAATGTCTCCTGGGAGATTTGCTTCTCAGACAAATCACTGTTCTTTCATGTCACTGTGTAAGTGCTTTGTAGATCCCAACAACTCTTTCCCTTTGCTGCTGGGTCCGTTAGTGCTTTCAGAGCCTGGCTGCTTTGGTGACTGTTACAATAGGTGCTACACAGATAGCAATGATTGTCTCTGCCATAAGGAATTTCTGGTTGCACAGGGAGAAATCTCTCATGCTGGTCTGGAAGTGGACAGGGCTCACACACTAGTGTTGTTTGTGTGAGTGCCAGGTCTCCCCTTGGCTTACCCTGGAAGTCCCGAGTCTGAAAGTAGCATTCAGTGCTAATGGAGCAGCCCGTCTCCTTGCTGGTGTAGCTCTATGTGTAGCAGTGATGTGCCTGCCTGTCTTGTATTGGTATCCTTCCCTTCCCAGTATCTCCCTAGGATATCCGGCCTGTTTGGGGTTCAGTGGTGACATCTCTGCAGGGTGCAGTGGGGACACGGAAGAGGGGGTGGAGAACTCCTGTGGCACATTGTGGCCCTGTTTCGCCCACGGCGCAGCAGAGTCATCTGATGGAGCTCACGTAACACTGAGCAGAAAGGCAGAATGAGGTCTCCAAGTGGCGTGATTCACGTGCCAGGGGTTTGAAAGCAGCGAGTCGTGCCTGTCAAACTCCTCTGAGTGCTTCTGTGTGGGGCTGCTTAACTCTTGCTCTTGAGAATTAGCTCTGAGTGGCTCCCAACAGCATCTCAAGGCTTCATCACCGCAACATTGCATTTTCCAGTGGTGCTCCACATTCTTTCACACGCTTCCCTATATGCCAGGGACTCCTGAATGTCTTGCATGCTTCTGTCGTCACCCCAGAGCCTGTTGAGCTGAAACAGACCTGAGGTGGTGGGCTGCAGGAGGGATGTGGCCAGAAGAGGACAAGCTGGGAGTGCTTTGGCCTGCTGCTCATTTGATGTTAGTGGAGTTGGCTTCAATGAGCTCCACAGCAACTTTGATCATTTCAGCCTGGAGAAGGGAAGGCTGCTTGGAGACCTCATAGCAGCCTTCCAGTATCTGAAGGGGGCCTACAGGGATGCTGGGGAGGGACCCTTCATTAGGGACTGTAGTGACAGGACAAGGGATAATGGGTTCAAACTTAAACAGGGGAAGTTTAGATTGGATATAAGGAAGAAATTCATTACTGTAGGGGTGGTGAGGCACTGGAATGGGTTGCCCAGGGAGGTTGTGAATGCTCTATGCCTGGTGGTGTTCAAGGCCAGGTTGGACAGAGCCTTGGGTGACATGGTTTAGTGTGAGGTGTCCTTGCCCATGGCAGGGGGTTGGAACTGGATGATCTTAAGGTCCTTTCCAACCCTAACTGTTCTATGATTCTACAGTGAGACAAGAAAAGTATGATTTTGTGTTTTACTTCTCTTTTATTAGGCTGTTAAATTGTGTAGGCTGGTAGGGCAAGAGAGGAAGACACACTAGGTCTGAAAAAAAGCAATTGAAGTTGCTCTCTGTGTGGTTTATTTCATCTCTTTGGTGGTAGTGATGCTTCTTTAATGTTGGCAGAGAGCATGGACTCAGGAGTGCAGGTGGTTTGGGGGTCTTTGTGCTTTTTTTGCGGGTAGAGAGGAGAAGACAGACTTGGGTGCACAGAACTCGGTACCTAACAAAGGATAAACGGCGTGTGTTTTGCAGTGAAGCTCAAGAGCAATGATACTGATGTTTTCCTGGAGGGTCTTTTCTCTAAACGGGAGAGAATGTTTGCAGAGGAATTCAGGCATCTCTGCTCTGTTTTGTTTTTCTGCTTCTTCCAGTCTCTTCCAAGCCAGGGACCTGTGTGAAAGTGCTGACGATTGAGCCCACAGGTAACTGCCGGCTGCAGGAAGATCTGGCTCTTCTAGCAGACTGCGCCCTGCCAGCCAAACTGCGGGTAGGGACCACTTCTACTGTTTCTGGTCTCTGTGGGACTGCGATACGTGTTCACCCCTGTTCAGTTCTCCCCCTTTGAGCTTAGTGCTTGCCTGTTTGCTGGCGCTCCAACTGCCGAAAGCCTTTTGTTGCTTGGAAATGCTGTAACAGTGTTTTAATGAGATGGTCAGTGCTAGTCCTTTTCCTTGGATTTTTCCCCCAGGAGGCATCTTGGTAAGCAAACCCCTTGCCATGTGGTTGGTGGGGATTTCCCCATTGATGGCAGTGGGACAGAGAGTTGCCCACAGCTGGTTTTGCCTTCTCTACCATTCAGCTTGAGTATCAGAAACATTTAATCAGCAGGCGTTGGTACCTGAAGGAACGTGTAGATGGCAGATGGCTTGCTGGGCTTGCTTGCTAGGAGCTGACAGCAGCAGTTGAGAAGTGCTTCCAAACCCTGACAGTATTGCCAGCAGAAATGTGAGTCCCTCTGTAGCAAATTTAACTTCACTGGCAATAGATTTGCTTTCCATAGCTGCCTTTTGTTGACCCTTAGGAAGAGCCCCCAGACCACAGGTTGATGATCACTGTGTTAAAATGCTGTCAGTAGTTTTAGTGGGCTCATATATGTGGATCTTTGCTCCCAGTTGCAGGAGAACAGGACAAATATGGGTAGCCTTCCTTCTCCCTTCATCTCTTGTTTTCTGTGATATCAGCAGATTTTCTTTGCCCTTATGTGTGTCCTTTGTTTCCTCTTTCTCATACCAGCTACTGAGTTTAATAACATGAACTCATTTTAGGTGGCTGCTGTGCCCAGAGGTTGTATGACTGAGTGATGTAGCAAAGTTTATTGCCTTCTGCTTTTTGTCCTCTGCTGAATCGACCTGCCTCGTGCAGTGTGTCTATGTGCGTGGATAAGGTTTCCTACCTGTAATAAGCCAGCATGTTTTGTGCTTGGCAGATATATTTCCCTGAGTACTGAGCACTTAGAGAGGCAGTTTTAATCCATCAAGTTTCCATCTACCAATGCAGAAATCTTTCCTACATAATCTGCCTCCCCCAAATAACTGCATTTATTTGTGGCTTTCAGTATGAATGCCTCTGAGCTGTGGTTTTCTGGCTATGTTCATAGATGAGAATGAAGGCAGTTACAGCAGCATGAGGCTTGTTAGGGCTGCAAAGGTAAGGAGGACAGGGGCACATAGTGATGTGCTGTGCACATCAATGTTCATAGCGATGTGCTATGCACAAACATGGGTGATTTGCTTAAACCTGATAAACTCTAAAAAATTCCAGTTTTTCTCTCTCTAGGTCTTTTTATTGTTGTTATCATCTTACAAAGAATAGATGAACAAAGCTCTTAATCCTGCTGCTATTTATAGCTCGTCCTAATGCTTGTAAATTGTTCAGTTCTGTGAATTAGGCTCTTTGTTCTGGAGCAGAGGAATCGCACATCCTCACTCTAACAGGGGCTGGTGCCATCCAAAGTATGGAACCTGACATATCAGGGATAACTGAGTAGGCATGTACAAACATCCCTGCTCTCGAGGAAACAAAGCAGGCATTCAGCTTTGGATAAAAGCCAGCATTTCCAGAATTTGGCAAGAGACATTCTGTGCTGTTCCTGTCATGGAATGCCACAATACATGAAATGGGATGTATGCACCTTTCTGTTTCACTGTCAACAAGTAATCTGTGTGTCTTTGATACTTGAGTGATGCAGAAAACTCTATACATCCCAATTTCATGGGATGAAAACAATCATTAACGTTGGATATTCAATCACAGCGCATCATTCAAGTGAGAGCTCTCTGTTCTTTGAACTCTTAAACATGTTTAGCATCTTGGTATCTTCTTTCTCATTCCTGTTTATACTTCAAAGCCCTTTCTCTTGCAGTGTTTGTTTTTAACAGGGTGGTGCTTGTCTCTGCTTTGTTTTAAACCAGTAATGACCAGAGTTTCTCTGCCCACAACAGCTGCTGCTTTGGTTTGTTGCAATGCAATTTAGCAGTGACAGATTTAAGTCAAACACCACCAAAAGCCAGGCAACTGTCAGAACCCATCTGGCTTCCCACTGCCTGGCTATCTTGTGTCTGCCAGGTGACCTCTGAGTTAGTGACTCCAGGGCTTCCAGAACATGAAGCTCTTGGCACATCCTTCCCTCATAGCTGGATTTTCATTGCCATTTAACTGAAATCTTATTTTCCAAACCAAGAGGAAATCAGACTTAAAAGGATCAGAGTTTGCCGTGAAATCCTCTTCTCTCCATCTCTATTGGCTTTGGTGGGGCTGCAAAGAAATGTGACTCATTTGTCACTTCTGGGGCAAAGCTAAATCCTGTCACGCACAGAAAGAACAGGCTGAAGCAGGTAGATGGGTTCCCTCCTGTCTTTGTGCTGTGCTTTGCTTTGCCCATTTGGCAGAGGCAGATTAACTGAACCATTTCCAGCACTCTTCCATTTGTTAATATGATCCAGTTCACTTGCATGTGGTTAGGGGCTGGTGATCTGCTCTCGCATCACTCAGCCCAGTATTTTGTGTTGTAATTTATTTACAGCTTTCTTGCTGAGATCATCTGGCCAAGATACAAATTGCTGTCACTGATTAGGTTTGTGTGCTTTTGCCTCCAGCAACGTTTCCATTTAAGTGCTAATAGTAAATTGGTAGCAGCACAGGCTTTGTCCTCCACATGTGATGACTGGAGCATCCTGTGGATGTTCAAGCAGTCTTATGCTATAGAGAATACTTCTGTATGGTGAATGAGTTGTGGATGTGTTTGCACCTCACAGGCTTGACTGTGTTGTGCTTCCTGGGCAACATACTTGGCTTTGGTAGCTGTGCTTTGGTATGCTGAGGAGGTTGTCTGAAAGGGGGAGAGAGGAATGAGCCGGTTTTCTGTAGGGAGACCCTGAAAGGGAGACAAAATCCCTCAAGCATAATGGGAGGAGAGTAGAAGAAGTAGAGACTTTAAAGGGGAATAAAAGGGAACATTCTGCAAAGCCACTTCATGCCGGATAGGGGAGACAAAGACATGAACCTGCTTTTGTAGCAGGAATTGGAAATGACCTTGTAAACCTGAGCATCAGAGCGGGGGCCAGGCGAGGCTGGAAGCAGGAAGTTGAGCCTGAAGGAGTTTGTAATTCAGGAGACAGGCAGGTGTGTTGCGAATGGTGCTTAGGTTGGAAAACTGTTCTTCATGGTCAGCCATGGGGTTTTGGGGTGTAACTTTCCTGGATGAGAGACAGAGGTAATAAACAGCTCAGCTCAGGGGCACGTGTTTGGAGAACAGGAACCAGGGAAACTTTTGTTCCCAGGGACTGCCTTGCTTGCATAACTGTGAATAGAAACTTTCACATTGAATTATCCTGCACATAGGATAAGGTGGAAGTGCAAATCTTTGGAAGTGTCACTTTAAAACAGTATAAGGCCAACAGAGCTATTTTTTTGTTAGCATGTGGGACTGGGAGGAGGTGTGTTGGTGTTAAAATCATTTCTCCAGGGTATTAATACTGCAGCAACATCGTCTTTGGCTGCAAATCAGATCAGAAACTGAAAATGTGCTTTAGAAACGTTGGATTCTTCAAGTGAGGCAGTAATGGGAGTCAACCCATTTGAAACTGGTCTGTACACCTATGGAATCCATACGTTACACATCTACCTGTCCATCTGCACAGTAAAGGGCTAGTGCTAAGCTGTAGTATGGTTATGGTACCCACCACATGAAGTAACCATGTGGAGGCAACTTTTACCTGCCTTTTTATGTGACACAGGAATGCTTTCCAGGCAGGGGGGTATGGAGGGTCAGGGGCTTCCCATGGATAAGGGAGGCAGCTGTAACTTGTACCAGGAATATCTCCATCAGCAGTGCAAGGATTTCACACTGAAATCAGTGTTCAGAGCAGCTCTGTGCTGAGGGATCGGATGAATGGTTGCTTCTGGGAAGACCAAGAAGTCCAAATGTGGGCCCTGAGTGTGTTTAAATCATTAGTGTTAAAGGTCAGCTCTTCTGTTCTCTCTTCCTAGGTTGGTTTTGGGGAGCTGCCATTCGACAGCACTGACAACTTCGACAGTTGTCCCGACGTGTGCTTCCGGGTGGCAGATTACAACTTCTTGTGCCATAAGGTATGTCCTTGCGCTGTCCTTCATTCTCCTGCCTTTTGCTGGGAGCCCACTCTACCCATCTCCTGCTCATCCAGTGCTGGATGCACTCTGCAGAAGCAGCATTGCCTCATCTCCTGGAAAACCCAAAGTCTTATTGCAGCTGGGAACTGTATTTAAAGCATTGAACAGAACAGCAAAGCCTGCCTTTCTTGCAGAGGCGAGGAGATAAGTTTATGGATTCAGCTGCAGTGTTCACAGCTGCAAAATCTCCTGCTGCTGGCTTGAGAGTTCAATGTCTGGAGAAGGGAATGTTTGATATGCAAGTAAATAGCAATAAGAATGGCTTTTGAGATCTAAGCTCAACTCAGACTGCTGCCATAAAGCCACGTGCCTCGCTAATCTCTTCAGTTAACAAATTGGTTCTGGGGGTAGGCATGGATAGAAATGAGGTGTGGAAAAACGTTGGAGATTCAGCTTCAAAGTGTAGAGAGAATCTAAGTTACAGAGTCTGAACTTCCAGAATCCCTCTTTGCTGCTGTGGCAGCTGGTTGGCAGTGCTCTCTGGTTTGGTGCAGTGAAAATGATGGTGTGTTGGTCTTTCTTCCCTCTGCAGGCATTTTTCTGTGGTCGCAGTGATTATTTCAAAGCCCTTCTTGAAGATCATTTCAGTGAGAGTGAGGAGCTGCAGACACAGCCCAGCATCCCTGTGGTGACTCTGCACAGCATCTCAGAGGACATCTTCATCCGGGTCCTCTACTACATCTACAGTGATGATACAGAGGTGAGGCCAGTCATGGAGCCTCCCCTCCTGTGCTGGTTCATTCTGGAGCTGGTCACAGCAGCGTGTTCCTACAGCATTAGGTGTGGGGTGTGTTGTTTCCTGAATCCATTGCCTTACTCTGCTGTCTCACTTCTGTCTCAGGGACTTGTTGTTAGCCAGGCAAGGATGCAGTTTATGTGCATCACATTCCTGAAGCAAATCCCTAGGCTTTCATCCCATAGAAAAGATTTGGAAATTAGGTTGCACATTGCCTGTTGGCGTGATAAATGCAGGGCTTTGCAGGTAACCCCTTGGGCTCTGTGGAAGGATGAGGTGCTGCTGCCAGTAGATGGCAGATTGAACCCATTTGGAGATGCAGAAAGGTTGAGAGATTCTGCTTCTTTACTCTTGGCATCATTGCCCACTTTTCCATTTGTAGCAAGTCATTATTTTCACTGTTGTTTGTTGCTGGGGTGGGCAAAGGCTCCACTGGGAGACCACTGCCTTGCTGTGCTCAGTATCACAAGCAGTAATGTCCCTAACCCGCCTAGTTTTCAGCCTAATGGAAGGTGCAGCAAATCTCAGCTTCCCGCTTTGGGTTTGCGGCTTTCATCAGGTCCAGCTCCAAGATGCCAGAACATGTTCTGGCATTAGGGCAGTGATAGAGACACTTCACCTCCCAGTGTCACAGCTCCCAAGCAGTGTCTGTGCTCTGGGTTAGGTGCCACAGACAGGCAGAGCACACAGCTGTGACCTTGTTTCTGTTGGTCTGTTCACCTCTGGGTAGCAGCAGGGAATGTGTGGTTGGGAGAGGTATATTTAGCAGGCAGCAAGGGCAGGATTGCCATAGGTATGCCAGGGAGCAGATGCTTCACTTCTCTGCACTTTCCTCAGCCACAGGCTGAAAGGGCAGGCAGGGAGGGAAAGCAGCCTGTTGGGTTGTGAAGATCCCCCTGACCTTGTGACTGCGCTGCAGCTTCACCCTGTTCCCTTGCAGCTCTCCAGTCTGCCTGCCCTCCTTGTGATGGCTCAAGGAAAGGGATGGCTGCTTGGAAAGCATCCTTCCTAAGGGGTGCCTCAGCTGAGTGTGAAAGTTGAAAGGATCTTGCCCATATGCTCCCTATGCAGACTGGTGCATAGCTTGGATTTCAAACTGAGCAGCCAAGATAGAACTTCTGCAGAGAGTTCATCTGTCATGGAAACTACCGGGAAAAATAGTCAGGGAAACAGGAATGGAGCTCAAGTTCCACACTTGTATGTGGAGTGTTCTCCCTGCTCTGGGTTTGTCCAGCCGAGTATCAGCACTCCCAGTTCCATATTCCTTTTTCCAAGGGATTTTCATGTCTCTCCTATGTAACAGGGACAGAGTTTGCAGTTGGAGGGAGCAGTGTGTGCAGAGGACAGAAATGGTTCTAGGCAGAAAGAGAAGTTTCTGGTCAGAATACTTGTGGGCTCAAGGGGAGCTTCTGGTTGATCAAGCAGCTGGGAGCTGCTGCCATCAGTGCTGCTGACTCAAACCCCTCCAGCTCGTGAGGATCCTGGAGCTTATGAAAGGACAAAGCAGCACTTGATTGATAACCCCAAGAGCTTTGTCACACAACTGTGGCTCTACAGCCGTCATGGCATGCTTCCCTTGCATCGTGCATCCTTCTGCACAGCTGAGCATTTGCTGTGGGGAGACTCTCCAAACATCTGTGAACAGCTGTAGGGGAAGAAGCAATCAGCCTTGTGCAGTTGTCAGTGAGCAACCACATGTGTAGCTCTGGGCAGCAGTGGGTTTGCTGCTGAGCAGTTATCAGGATGGTGGATCACACTGCAGGAGAGTTACCATTCCTTCAACCAGACCAGCCTGGCTTCGTCTCTAAATACAAGGGATGGATCTCACCTTCTCCACAGCCAGGGTACACTGCATCCTGCAGATTCCCTGTTAAAAGGGTTGTGGGTATCTGTGCTCTTTGCAACTCCCATTAGCAAGAGCAGAACTGTGCAGAGAGAGGCTCTAGTTCCAGGTTAGTGACGCAGATGGTTGACTAAAATAGGATTTGCCCAGCCAGGGGGAAGAGTGAAGCTGGAGGTGGTGTCTCCAATGTTCTCTACAGCATTTTTTTATCCTCAGATCAGTTGCAAGGAACAAAAGTACCCAAGAGGGAAATGGGAGGGTGGTTCTTTAGCTCAAGAGCTTGAAAATGTTAAAGGCTATTCCCAGCAGTGTAAGCTTGAGCATCTGGTGCATGAATTTAGTTCCATTTGAATGCCTGTTAAAGCTCCAATAGTATTTGACGTGCAGATCTGTTCCTTACCTCCTTGGGCCTCTCCTGTAGTTTATTTGGGGTGCAGTTTTCTGTCCTTGGATATATCCCCATGCCGTGGAGGTTGTGCTGGCTGTTAGCAGAGCCAGCTGGAGGAATACAGCAGTACAGAATGAGAGGAGAAGTCCCAGCAGGGACAAGGTGCTCTGTTCTGTCAGGCTGCTCCATTTGTCCCTTTGAAGAGCTCTTAGTACCTCTGGTAAAAGCTACTTCCTTCCACTGCTACAGAGCATGCTTTAGCAGCCAGCTTTCAGGTGCACTTCAGTGTGTCAGCATCGCTTTGTGCTTCACTAGAGGGGTCAGCTGCAGCATGGCAAAGGTCTTGCTTCGTGCTGAGCGAGCTGCCTCGGCAGCATTTTAAACTCCTCTGTGGTAACTGAGTAGAAGACCTAAACCTGAAAGACTGAGCTCCTGTCCCTTATAGTGCTGTTAACACTTGTCCAGTGATGGGCAAACCCCACTTTAGGGCATCTCTGCTAAAATACAGGAGCTCATCAGAGACAAGCGTTCAGGACTGGGTGGTAAATCTCCTCTTTCCATTCCAGCTGTCCCCGGACAACGCCTATGATGTGCTGTGTGTGGCAGACATGTACCTGCTGCCCGGGCTCAAGCGCCTGTGTGGCAGGACTTTGGCTCAGATCCTGGATGAGGACAACGTTGTGAGCATCTGGAGGATTGCAAAGCTGTTCCAGCTCACCCGGCTGGAGGACCAGTGCACGGAGTACATGGCAAAGATCATCGAGAAGGTATTGCAAACAACCCCCACTGCACTTGGCACGCGTGCCCGTAAATCTAACAGCACACTTAACATTTTCACATAGCTACAACAGATTTAGTGGTTGTACTTTGCTCTCTAATAAGTGGTTTAATGTGCTTCCTGAAAAAGAGCAGTGTTTCAGTAGCAAAGCAGATGGTGAGTTAGGACAGAGGATGAGGAGCACGGCAGTATCTGATGTCCCTGCAGTAAACCTAATGCTGATGACAGCCCCATCTCTGGACAGTGCCTTTCACTGAGCCTTCAGCCACTGTGCCCAGAGCAGCAACGGTGTTGCCTGAATACACCAGCTACAGCCTGGGGGACCAAACGGGGTGTGCAGGGTTGCTGTGTGCAGGAAATGGTTTTGGGGGTTTGCTGGGGGCAGTTCCTCCTGGCATCATGCTATGGGAAGGAGAAGTTGATGTGATCTCCACTCTCCTCCAGGAGGACAAATCGAACAGTAAGGGTTTCCACGGGTGAAATTTGGCTGTTGAACAGCCAGAAGGAATGCATCTAACACTGAAGCTTTCCTTATGCCCCTCCATGTAAGTGTTACCCCAGGTGGTTATAGCTTGAAGTTCTAGACTTATGGAGAAAGTTGCCATACTAAGCCCAGCCCACTTTATCCCAGTGCACACCACTCCAGCCCACTTTATCTCAGTTCAGACGCTTTACCCCAGTTCAGTTCAGACCAGCCCACTTTAGCTCTGTCCAGCCCATTCCAGCTCACCCCAGCCCGTTTAGCCCAGCGCAGCCAACTTCAGCACAGTCCATTCCAGTTTAGCCCAGCCCACTTTAGCCCAATTCAGCCCAGTTTAGCCCTGTCCAGATCAATTTAGCCCAGCTCACTTTAGCCCAGTTCAGACCAGCACAGCCCAGTTTAGCCCAGCCCAGCCTAACCCAGTTCAGCTCAATTCAGACCTGTCCAGACCAATTTAGCACAGTTCAGCAGATTTTAGCCCAATTCAGACCAGTCCAGCACAGCTTAGCTCTGTTGAGCCCAGTTTAGCCCACTTCAGCCCAGCACAGCCGTTTACCCACTTCAGCCCAGTTTAGCACAGCACAGTTTAGACCAGTTCAGCCTAGTTTAGCCCAATTCACATCTGTCCAGACACTGTTAAGCCCAATTTAGCCCAGCCCAGTTCAGCCCACTTTAGCCCTTCCCAGCCCAACGTAGCACAGTTTAGGCCAGCCCACTTTAGCCCAGTCCAGCCTATCCCAGCCCAATTTAACCCAGTTCAGCCCAGTTTACAGCCCAGCCCAATTTAACCCAATTCAGCCCAGTTTACAGCCCAGCCCAGCCCAATTTAACCCAGTTCAGCCCAGTTTACAGCCCAGCCCACTCCAGCTCAGCCCAGCCAAGTTTAGCCCAATTAAGCCAGGTTTAGCATATTTCAGTATAGACTAGAAACCATGGGATGTTTTTATCCTGAGACAGGTCTTTATAAATTGCATGTACAGTTCACCTGGGAATGTGACATTCACCTGCAGCTTGAAAGGTGTGAAATTCTTTTTGGCCTGTGAAAACAGCAAAGGAAATGATTCTGGGGCTGGTTTGTGTTCAGCAAAGGGATGACAGACACATCAGCATACACCCGGATTCTGGCTTCTGAAAAAGGGATTTGGTTTGAAAGCTGATGGATATCCCAAGGTGGGGCTGTGCTTCTGTGTTGCACTGACTTCCCTTGCCTGAGTGGGAGCCCTTGGACCCCGCTTTGGCAGTGTGCCTTCCTAAGGGTGTTGGTACAAATGGAGCTGCCCCAGCTGTTCAGGCAGCAGCAGCTGCCAGCACCTTGTGGAGATGCATTGATGATGGCTACAGAGAGAGATTTGGCAGCATGTAAAGCACAGAGCAGGGCTCAGCAACAGTTCAGTGGCGTAGACGGAAGCTGCCTCTCACCCTTCCGCACACCACATGCTCCTGGGGAACTGGGTGCAAAATCATTCCTGGGTGCCCTGATTCTGTCAGGTTGGGTGCAGAACAGAGCAGCTGCCTTGCTGTGATCTGCTGGTGGTGCTGGTGCTGAGAGCCATGGTGGGCATAGAGTCATTGGTGGCTCCTGGTTCCAAACTGGGCACAAGCATCTGCTGTCTTGCCTGTGGGAGACATCCCAAAGTGTCTGGCAGCATCTCCTGGTTCCTGTTAGGGAACATTGTGTATAATCCTGTTCCTCAGTACCAAAACTATGGATGCCTAGTTAGAGAGTTTTACAGTGTGCTGTTGGAGGTACAGATTGCTCATGGTTGTGACCATTTATTCTTGAAGTATTATTACTTCCTTAAGTTTAATGGCAGGATGCATCTCCAAGCAGCATCCATAGGAGACATAGGAAGATTTGGGTCTCCATGTGCCTTTAGCATTCCCTTTTCTTCTGTGGGATCCCTCAACAGTGGCTGAGCCCATTACCCCAACCCTCTGCATCCCTTTACCTGTCTTCTGTTCTTCTCTTGTCCACCTCACCCAGCTGGTGGAGTCAGAGGAGTTTGTGGCTGCTGTGAAGGAGAATGCGGAGGCTGTGGAGGAGCGGCAGGAGACGGACTCCATTCCTCTGGTCGATGACATCCGCTTCCACATCACCAGCAATGTGCAGACCTACAGTGCCATCGAGGAAGCCAACCAGAAACTTGAAGCTCTGGAAAACCTCCTGGCCAGTATAGGGCTTGAGTGCTGATGTGTGCAAACCCTGCCTGTCACTGTGGCCTGCGGAGGCCCTGCTGGGTTGGCTCAGAGTGTGAGAGCATCTCTCAGTGTCCCTCTTCCCCCTCTGTGTCCTCCTTCCCATCCACTTTCAGGCATGGTTTCTTTTTAATTTATTATACCTGGACATGTGCATGTCTGCTTTGTGTTTGGTTTGGGTTTTTGTTTTCCCCTTCAGAAGTAGCTCCAGAAGCTCAACCCGTATCAGTAGCTGCTCCTACTGAAGGGAGAGCTCCCCTTCTTTCCTTCCTAAAGGGGAAGGAAACACCTTCTTGGGAACAGCACTTCTCCCTTTCTTTTTGTACATGGTGGTAGAGCAAAACTGCTTCTGCTCAGGGTGGTGGCATGGAGAGGGCTCTGCATTTGCTGTGATTTGTGGAATGTACTCCATGTCCATCCCTGAGCTCAGTGTGGCTTTGACAGGACCACCAAAGAGCCCAGTGCAACTTGAACTGATAAAGACATCTCGGTAAACTTGAGGAGGGCAAGGGCTATTGAAAATGCTTTTATGTGAAATCCCATGTATTGTGGTGAAGGCAGGACTGGTTTTGTGCTCAGTGAGTGTCAGGCTCATGAAAGCCTGCTGCAAAAACCGACAGCTTAACCCAGCTGGTTCAGTTCTCCTGCGTTGCTCCTCCCTATGTGGCTGAAGATGACACTGAACATAAGCAGGATGTTTAGTTTATCACATCCCCTCCACTCCTCCTGCATAAATCCCTCATCAGGCATCTTAGCATTGGCTTTGCACAGCAGTGGTGGTGACAGCCCTGCACAAGGCTTGCACACCAGCGGCCAGAATGTGGCCTTTGCCTTCTACTTGCACTGAATGATCTGCAGAAACGGGATTACCAAGGAATGTGCTAATGCTGCTCTCTGCAGATGCCTCAGCTGCTCAAGCAAATGGACATTGGTAGTGGGCAAAGCAGGAGGAAGGCAGCGGTGCTGGGAAGCATTTTCCATATGGCTGCTCCTGAGTAATCCCATTCCCATGTGGAGCACGTGGGAGGAAAGGTCAGGGTGGCCTTTGCTTTGCCTCCCATAGCACAGCTCCATGTGTGCTGCAGGCAGGAGCCCCGTCTGCCTGCGTGCACTTAATGGTCACATCTGTGAGGCCCCTCACATTGTCCAATTACTTGGGATCCCTTTAACCACCCCCCCAGTCCCTCTTGGCAAAGCAGGGCTACCAAGGCATGCTCAGCAGATGGGCAGCATGCAGGCACACTGTAATGAAAACGAGCCTGGTCAACCCTCTGATTTGAATCCACTTTGTTCTCGCTGCAGATAACTTGGTCACAAGATAAAAACCTTCTGATTTTTCCTTCTCTGGCCGATGTCCTTTCTGTGTTCTCTTGCCTCTGCCCTTTTATTCACTGCTTCTCACTTGCTGAATTAAGAAGATTGTAAAATTTACCAGAGCAACATTATATTTAAGGGAAATGTGTAAGCATGTGTGCAGCAATAAAATAGTCTATTTCACTATATCTGTTCTGCTGTGGCCTCTCTGTTACCAACTGACAGCATCCACATGGCTTCACTTCCAGGTCTCATTGGGCTCCTTTGGTGCGTTTTCCCACACCCGGGCTGCAGAGCTGGGATTCCAGCAGAGAGGAAAGCGTGGCTCTGCTCTCCTCCTGGTGACCTGCTGTGCAGTGCTGCCAGAACATGGCTGTAATACACCCGTGTGTTTTTCCTGGCTCCTTTCCCCTAGGATTGCTCCATTCCGTGCTAGGGAGGTGATGTTGCTCTTGGAAGTGGCTCTGGGGAGCCCCTGACAGGTAAGTCCTTCTCTCTCATCGCCTGTGCCTCTGTCATTGCTGACTGCACACTGCATCCCAGGGTGCAGGTTTCTGACCCTCTGTCCTTCACTCTGACTTGCTCAGTGCACTGGGAGCCTCTGAAGCCTGTGTTTTCTCCACAACCCTGAGTGCTCTCTGAGGACACAGGCACTTGTTTTCTCTCCTGCTTTCTTATATGTCTGGGTGACTGCAATAGTTTTGGTGGCAAACACTATTTCGGCCATTTACTATTGGCCTCGCAGTGTGACTGGCATGCAGGGGACGAGGCTCAAGCTTGTCCCCATGGCTCCATGCAGGAACGTGCCATTTTCAGATGCTATTTTTCAATAGGATCTGAATGACTGATGTTGCTGAAGGGAGGGATGGGGACTGGAAAAGCTGAAGCTCCCGTCAGGCTTTTGGGACTCAACAAACAGCACTGACAACGAGCGCCGTTGTGTTGTGAGAGGCTGGAGTACACGGTGAGCATCCTCAAGAGGTCTGAGCTGTGCCTGCCATGGCCAAGGTGGAGATGGCACCTTTGCAACAGCAGCTCACAGCCCTGTATGCTGACAGAACAGTGACACTGACTTGTTCTCTCCTGCTGCAAAGCCCATTGCAGGCGGGGATGAGGAAGCCAAGCTGGGGCTGGTGATGGGACACAGGCTTGGCTAGGTCCTCTGCTCACAAGGGCTTTGCTGGCAGAGCAGGGTTTTCTTTCACCTTCCAAGCTAAAGCAGATTGGATGTAACATGGTTATTAAGATAAGAGAGGCCATTTGTCAGTGCTGGGGCCTGTTTGGAATAAAGCTGCTTTAATGTTGCTGCCTGCTGTGAGGAAGTGCTGAGGGAGAAGGGCAGAGAACTCCTTTTTCTGGGGTTGCGGATGGTTTCTAGGGTTTTAAGTTGGAAATTGGGGGTGGGTTATTGGTGATAACCAAGGCAAGGGCTGCAGAGAGGCTGGCTAGCGATTAGGGGACAGCAGCTGCATTTGAGTGCAGCTATGGCCATGCAGACCCTTTAGGCCAAAGTACAGCTGCAAGCTTCAAGCTACATTTGATAGCATCTGTGAGGGTGGTGAAGCTGTGGCTGCCCCATCCCTGGCAGTGCTCAAGGCCAGGCTGGACACAGGGGCTTGGAGCAAGCTGCTCTAGTGGAAGGGGTCCCTGCCCATGGCCAGGGTTGGGACTGGATGATCTATAAGGTTCCTTCTCATTCAAACCAGTCTGGGGTTCTATGACCTGGTGAAGGGGGCAAGCTCTCTCTTTTCCTATGTGGTCAGCTTTGTAAGCCTGCAAGTTCAGGGCAAGGATCGGTGCCATGCGGAGAGCTCTGGTCCCAAGGGTCTGGCTGCTCGGTTCCCAAAATAAGCTCTGAGAACCGCGTGTGAGAGCTTTCCTCTTCCTCCTGCTGTTGCCAGCAGAGTGAGCTTAAGGGGATGGAGCAGGCTTGGGAAGTGAGTTCTGCTCCCTCCTGGCTGCAGCTCTCTGCCAGCGGGTCTCTGCTGCTATGGCAAAGCACAAGGCTGTCACTTTGGCATGATGGGCTGGGAAAGAGGGAGGTGAAGCAGTGCTGTGCTGTGGCCAGATGGGCTGCTTCACGGGCTCAGGGTAGGGCTGTTAAAAGCAGTTCAAAGTAACTTGGTGCAGCTTTCTCATGGAGGAAACTGAGCCGGGCTGTCTTGCACTGGGATGTCACTAAAACCCCAGTAAGAAGAAATGCTTCCCTCTGAATTGTTTGATCTTAGCACTGCTTTGCAGGCAGGGTCATCCCAGTGCCGTTTGTGCAAGGCTGTGACAGGGATGAGCTGTGTGAGCCAGGGACCAGCTCGCAAGGCAAGGGGAGTAGATGCATTGGGTACCGCTCCTGGAGATCCGCTTTAGGAGATGAAGGCTGCTCTTCCATATCAGGGCTAAGATGACATTATATCTCTCCCTTCTGCTCAGAAGGTTTTATTCTAACACATTCTTGGCACAGCACAGCAGAACCAGCAATATTTCTATGAATTCTATTAAGCTTGCTTCCATAATGGGAGGCAGCAATCTGCTCTCTAGCATCCTTCCGCCCCCCTCCTCCCTAGGACTAAACCTGAACTGCATCCAGGAGTTTTAAATCAAGTTTGCTGGCGGCAACTTCAGTGTCTTTGCCTTTCCCAAAGGCTCTTTGAGAAGCTGAAAGTGCTTCAGGTTCGTTGTCCAGTGAGGGTTTTCTGCTGTGCTGCATCTCTGGTCCCAGTGCCTGCTGGGTGCAGCATCTTTAAAGCTGCCCAAGGTGCTGGCTCTGTCCACCCTGCTCCTGGGTGATAGCTGCTCCCCTCCCCGAGGCCAGGGGAGATGGTGTTGCTGTTGCCTGATGTCCAATCCCACGTGCAATGAATCTACAGTCTCCCAGGGTTGAAAGGACACGAGGGAAAACCCTTCTCTTGCTGTGCTGGGGCTGGTGCTGGCTGCGGTAATGGGGCTCATCCATCAGTCTTGCGTGCCACGTTCAGCATTCCCTGTGGATCCAGGACCCACCAGTCATGCAAGTGCCCCCGGGGTGCGTTTTGGTGCCAAGCAGCCATAGCATGGGATGTACAGGGTGGGAAGAAGGGACTCAGTGTTAGGACTCAGGATGAGCCTTGGAAGCTTAGCAAGACCGGGGCTTTTGATGCAGCAGGCACAAGGGCTGCCCTGTGCTGAGGCCAGGCTCTTGTTGCTGTTGCTGCAGCAGGAGGCTGACCCTGCAGCCCAGCGTGGGGGGAAAATGGGGTTGTTTTCTCTAGGGGGGAACCAGCCCTGGGGAGAGGCAAAGGCAGCAAGCACCAGGGATCCCACAGGGTGGCAGGGTCAGGATGGAAGCACATGGTAAAAGCAAAAGGCCACCCATGGCTGTGACAGCAGGGATGTCCCCTTCCTCCCGGGCTCCATCCCTGTCCCAGTGCCCTCAAAGCTGTGAACAGCTTCACTAAAGTTTATCTTTATAAAATTTATTTGGATATTTTTATTTGTACATTTTATATGTATATTTATATATATAATTTATGTTTATTTATATATAAATATACATATAAATTTTATATATAAAATTTGAATAAAACCTAAAATCCTGGGTTTGGATGGACCAGGGGCTCCTACTGCAGCAAGCCCTGCTTCCAGCCCTCTCTGTAGTCACAACAGGGGGCAAAAGGTAGGATTTAACTATCTGCTGCTCTTGGGCACGGTGCAGATGCTTCTGCTTGAACTGGGGATAGTTCAGGACCAACATCGTATTTAATGGGCTTATAAAAGCAGGGGAACCAGGTCTTGATGGAGGCTGAGCTCGCCTGGTGCTGCAGCTCTGACTCCTGTTTGGTGGGGGAAGCACTTGGGCCATGGAATGGGTTTTGTTTCCTTTCCTATTTGTATTTAAAGTTAGCTGTATAATTCTATATATAATCAGCTAGCGCTGATCTGGTTTCAAAGTCAGCTATAACTTAAGAAAGCAAAGCAAGCCTCTGTTCAGAAAACATAACTTTATTATTAGTTGCAATATACATTGTATTCCTTTAAGAATCCTAAACTTGTATATGTTTTTTTTTTCCCATTGAAAATACATGTGTATGTATATATGTTTTTATATATGTGTATATATATATAAATGTAATTTATTGAACTGGAACACGATGGGACAAGAGAGACAAGCTCAGAAATCACTTGGCAAAGTAAATGCCATCTCCGTGGGTCTGTGCTGGATGTGCTAAGGTCAGTGGTATAAAAAGAGCAGGCCAGATAGAAAGAGTGATGGGTTTGGGCCGTGGGGAAGGGTCCCAGTGCTGCAGAGGTGATATGTACAGTAGTTAACGTTGCTATTGCTCAGTCGTGGGTGCCACCTCTTCCCAAAGGCGGGCGGGTCCGCACAGCATCATTCATAAGGCCGGCTGTGCTCCCTGCAGATGGTCCCTGCCCTTGGGAACAGGGAGTGCGGTTCCCTTGGCAGCAGCTCTGCTCCGTGCTAATCTGGTCAGAGAAGGAGGAATCCCTCCGGGGCACGGGGAAACCAAAGAGGGTCAATATAAAGTGGCTTCTATGCAGGGGAAGGGGCCAGCAACAGCAGTGAGAGCTGCCTCCGGGTGGGTTTCCCTGTGCTAAGGTCCTCAGTAGCTAACTCTTCAGCTGAGGGTGGCACCAGCCCCTGCTGTGCCTTGGGGCTGGTTTGGGCTTTTCTTTGCTGTTCTTTCAGCTTTTTGCTTGTTAACCCCGTTTCCAAAGAGCTTCCCCGGCCCCACGCCACGGCTGAGCTCAGCTGGGCAGAGGGAGAAGCCTTCCCCACATCAACCTCATCGGTTTCCTTCCGTGTCTCCTGTACGCGTCCGAGCTGCGGATGCTTCCCGGCTGAGAGGACACGTCTGAGCAAGGCACTGACCGCCGGCTCCCCTCTGCCTGAAGCCAGGTTGGAGGGAGCAGACGGGCTCTGACCTTCCTGTGGAGGGTCGCTGCCTTACAAAGTGCTCGTCGGCTCGGAAGGGATGTGGAGAGCGTGGGCACTGATTTTTCTCCTCCCGACTTCCCCTGGTAAAGTGCTTTCAGGAATCCCATCCTCATCCTGCTGCTACCCATGCAGCGCCTGGCACCGCTGGATCCTGCCTGCTTGGTTCCCTTTCCAGCTGAAGGAGCAGGTGAGGTTTATCACCACTTTATCACCGCTGCAGCGCTCCTCTTCCTGCCGCCTTTCCCCAGCAGCATCTGGCAAGGAGGGATCTTGCCCAGGGAAAAGAAGGTGCATCAAGCCAGGCTGCTGGAGGATGCGGAGCAGGGGACCTGCATCGCCTCCTGCCCACAGCCAGTGTCACCAGTGGCCGGGGAGAGCAGCTGATTGCACTGGAATCATATTGAACCAAAAGCTGGTGTTTCGGGGGGAATTACAGCTCATTTCTTTCTTTAGAGACAAGGAAATACAAATAGGAAAGTGCCTGGATCAATCTCTATAAAGAACTTCCCTTAGGGCAATTCCAAGGACATAACCTGCATCCACACATCCTTCATCCATCCACGCTGCTGGGACCGAGCCCTGACTCTGACTGTTACTGCACAGACGTCCCTTTCCTGACTCTATCCACAACTGGGCTTAAAGGGGATAAAAGGTGGGTGATGCCCTGACACTGTCGCAGGTGGGATCCAGCCCTGGGGATGCAGCTCAGGACACAATGACGGATCCAGGCTGCCAGGGAAGGCAACGAGGGGCTTGTTTGTCACTGGGGGATGCCCCAGTCTCATAGTGCAACATTCACAGGCATTTTCTTCTTGCAGAACTGGAGGGAGAGGCACAGGTTAAACCCTTTCCCTTTGGCCAGTACCAAGAAGTACCAAGTTCATAGTTAGGGCCATCACCCTGGACAAACTGGCCAGCACAGTCACACTGTGATCACTGTGCAGTTTGTGCTGTATCTGCTCCATAAACTTCACCCTGCTGTGACCAGAGACACAGGCAGCTCTAGGATTTGGCTTCTCTGCACCCCTGGACCAGTCCACAAGCTCCTCTATGGCAGCTCATACACCAATGTCCCCGGATGCCCCCAGTGCAGCAAGGCAGATGTTGGATGGATGCTCTATGCTCTGCCTCCAGCTCCCCACCTTACTGAAGGGCTCAGTGATCCGCCCCAGAGGGGATTATGCTGCTCAGGAGGAGATGGGGATGCGCTTGGATGGGATCTCTGCTCCTGCTGTGGAGCTCCTGCTAAACCAGTGGACCATGAGGACACCCACTGCTAATCCCCACCCACCAGCTGCTCTGCACTTCCCTCCAGCATTACTTTCAGGACATTTTCCAACTGATGAAGGAAAACAACAGATTATGACTGTGAAGTTATGGTGAAAGGACTGGGTCCTGGTAGGACAACATTATTCCTTGCCAAGAGAAAGAACAATTAACTTCTGCTTTAGACTCTCCTCTCATTCCTTCCCAGCTCTATATACGTCATATATTATATTACTCTATTCTCTCATAACTTTGACTTTGCTCTTTCAGTTTCAGTAGCACAAGTGATTAATTCCAAAGGAAAAGGGAAAAAATAAGGGAAAATGGGAGAAAAAGCAGCCCCATGAAATATTTACAGAGTAGTTCATTGTGCAGAGGAGACGAGGTTTGGCATGGGGAAAAGCCTGGGTTTTGAATGTGCCAAGTGGGGTTGATCCCACATTCCTCCTCTCCCCTCTGGGATCCTGCCCTGATCATTAAAACTAAAGAGCTGTTCAATGCCTTTCCCCAGTGCAAACTTGCAGAGGATGTGCAGGGCGGTGAGGAGGCTGCCTCTGGGCTCCCGGTAAAGGCAGCATCCAAAGGGTTCTAACCTTGGAAAGCAGCCTTTCTCATCAGCTCCCACTCCAGCCTCTCCTCGTGACCCAGCACTCTGGGTGCTGCTCTTCTCTCAAGGACCATGGCTTTTAAGGTACTGGATGGTGGGGATGGGGAAGGGACTTAATGCACCTGGAATCAAACCATGAAGTGGAAGGTGGCGACTTCTTTAACATAGCAAAAGTTATTGCAGTATAAATGCACCCCTGTCACCCAGCGCAAGCAGAGAAGGGGAAGCGGTGGGGGAAGGTTGGTGGGTGAGGAGCACTTCCATAGTCACTCAACCTGGGGAAAGCATCCATTCTCCTCCAGATTAGGCCCATGGCCATTTACATCAGCAGATGGTGCTCCACCCTGTGCCTCTCCCCCCACCCTCCCTTAGCTGTGCATGATAGAGCATCCCAAGAGTCCCTCCACTGTAGGTCTTCCGGAGAGAGACTTCTATTAAGCCAAGCATCTGCTCCCAGAAAACCCCAGTGAGAGCTGCAAGCCCCATTGCTCTCAGGCCTGGCTGGCTTCCCCAGCGCCCGAGACCTTCTGGCTAATCCATGTTAGTATTTCTGTGAAGACAGAGGTAGAGACCTCGGGCAGCTCTTTGTGGAGGGCATGGTAGGCTTCCTCATAGACCTGCAACAGGGAGAGAGCAGGGATGAGCACAGGCAAAAGTCATCTGCATGAGCAAACCAGCCTTAGCTCCCCTCCCATCAGCACCCACAGGTCCAGCACGTCTTGCCCACACCTCGGCAGGGTTTTCTCCCAGATGGAGCAGGTTATGGAATGAAGAGATGCTGCTGGTGGCACAGGAAAGCATCAGCATTGCCGCTCGCCATCCGTGTGTTACCCAGCACCCTGCTGCCCTTTAGCTGCACATCCCAGCCCCATCCATTTCTTGCTTCTTATCCCACTAAGGAGGAGGAAATCCTTATCATGCCCTTGGATTTAAAGGACAATGGGGATGTTCCCATCATGCCTTGTGTGATTTCACTCTTTTCATGTCCAGACTGTCCAGTTACTTTTCCAATGACAAAAGCCTGCCCCTGGTCTCCCTGTCTCTCTTTCAGACTCATTCATGTGCTAACAATTGGTTAATCAGACATGGCTCTTTTGAGCAGATGTGAAGTGCCTTTCGCTGTGCAGCCTTGGAAGGGCCCCTGTACCTTTACACGTTGGAGCACAAGGTAAGGTTGGTGCTCGCACAGTTGCCATTGCTCAGAAGAGCTTTTGGGGTCAGCACTTTACCCGCCTATGAGCCTGGCTCTATTTGTACACCAAGATGCCTCATGGCCAAGGCACAATCACTGCTGGGTCAGGTCTTGGGGTCACAGCCTGGCTGTGGCTGATGGAAGGTGCCCAGGAAGGGCTGTATTTGGGCTTGGCAGTGCATCAGCCCTGCTTTGCCTCCAGGCTCCCTGCCCCTCACTGCCATGCCAGTACCCTAAAACCCAAGAAACCCATCTGACCTTGAGCGTTTTGTCCTGACTTTGCACTGTTTCCATCAGGAAATAGGACCCTTTGATGTCGCAGAGCTTGTCGGAAGAGCCGTGTAGCACCAGGATGGGCAAAGTCAGCTTGGGCAGAGCTCGCTCGATTCTGGCAATGGCATTCATCAGCTGGATGACGAAGGAGACCTTCATGCCACCGTGGTAGACCAAGGGATCAGATGTGTAGGACTCCATCTGGCAGTGACAGAAAGGTAAGTTGAGGTTGGCAATACTTCATGCAGGGAAGACAAAGCCTGGAGGTGAGGAGGCTCTTTCCTGCACTTGGACAGGCATTTCCTGCTCTGTCAGGACATCCTGCCATCAAAGTGAAGGTCAGGGTCTTACTGTGGCCACCCAGAGCTGCTCACACCATCTGGCTAGCGCCTTGCTGTGTGTTTCTCTCTTCCATCACTGGAAAGCATTCAAGCCAAAGCCCTTTCTGCAGGCAAGCAATCGGTGTCATAGACCGTCCCCACGGGGGCATCTGCTGTGTTTTAACCCTCTGCCATGTCCTTCTGTCACTCAAACATGACATCTCTCCTGCAGAGGGTTCTTGGTACCTGATAAACTGATGTTCTCCAGGTCCTCATCCTGGATCGTGACTACAGATCCTGACACATCTGCCTGCCAAGGGCTCTTGTGCTGAGGGGTCCCCTCCGGGTACCGCGGCCGGCGATGATGGACGAGGCGGTGGGCAACAAAGCAGCCCGCAGGCGGCTCGGCCCCGCTGTGCAGGGCAGGACTGGGAGCCGCAGGAACAGGCAGTTCCGCCGCGGGCAGAGCACAGTGAATGTTTGTACACTGCTCGGGGCCGGCCCACACAGGCGCTGCCAGCACGCTCCAATGCGGGGCTGGCGCTGGCACAGCTCTCCCGGCCCTGGCAGATGTGTATGGAAATGCCGGTTATTTATAGGAGAGCCGGAGCCGGCTCCTCCCTCCTGCCCCGCAGCACATTGAGGCTCTCTTGCTGCATGTGCCTGGCCCAGTGGGACCACGGGAGGGAGGGGACCCGTGAGGACACCCCAGGGACAGGTAGCACAGCACAAACATGCGCAGCATCACCTGTCTGGGCCCACCGAGAAGCCGGAAAGGCTTTGGGGTGCATCCTGCATCCACCTCCCTGTGAGATGAGTGGCAGGGCGGCAGAAGGACAGGTAGGGACAGTGACAGGACAAGGGGGAATGGCTTTAATGGCAAACACTTTTGTGCACATGATGGGAGGGAGAAAATAATAACCCAGTGTCGACCTGGATGGATCAAGACTGACGGGGAGTGTTCCGTTGCTAGTGGATGAACAGGAATCCTTGTCAGTGTTGATGGACATGGGGCAACTGCAAAGCAGCAGCTTGCCGGGGAAAGAGGGAATGACAGGGAATGGGGTTTGTATCCTGCAAGCTATGAACTACAGTGAAGGCTCTGCAGGGGTTATCACAACAGCCTCTCTTTCTGAGACAGAAGCAATCATCAGGGCTCCTCCCGCATTACATTCCCCTGCTTAGGGTCTGCATCTTCCCTTTGCATTTCGCAGAGCAATAAACTCATTGTCAAGTAATTGCAGCCTCATCCTAAGGGGTTCCCATCCCTGTGATGTTATTCCTCCTTGGAATAACAGGACTGGGGTTTAAAGGTTGCTTCTTGCTCCCTTTGTGTCTCTTGCTACAGCAAGCCGATCAAACAAACGTCTCCATAGCATCCCGTGCTTCAGTCCCTACAGCCCGAGGACAGCCTGCTGGGAGCACAAATTCATCAGGAAATTCTTGGATGATGTCCCAAAAAATATTTCTAGAGAATAGAAAGTTGGTCTGGCAGGAGGATGCGCCTGACACATAAATAATGGATGTTCCCAGCACATGGTGTGCTTTGAAGCTGCGCATCTTGAGGCCAGGAGGAGGGTGGGGGGTGTGTTGAAGGCAGCCAGAGGACCGAGATGCTGCGATGTCCTCAGAAATACCTGGAGCCCCAAACCCTTGTGTTTGAAGATGGTCAGGACAGTGCTTTACATCACAACCCACGCTGCTGTCAGCCATGTATACACTTGTAGGTGTGGAGGCAGCACAGCAAGGGGGGTTTGGTGTCTCATTTTGAAGGCTGCTCTGTTATAAGCAGCCTCTAATGAAGCAGACCTATGTTTTTATCCACTGCAAAAGGCTTTCCTTGCTCTGTGGGAAGGGCAGAGGGAAAACAATGCTCAAAGGAAGCTCTTGAGACTTGGAGCATCACAGAGCAGAGGAAGCAGCAGCAAATATTTAGATAGGAAGACAACACAACAGCATGTACTATAAACTGGCCAGTGGTTGCTGTGGTGATTCCTAACATCACCCCAACATGTCCTAGCTCCTGGAAGAGCTGGGGTTTGCCACTGCAGTGAGCGGTGCTGGTGCAGCAGAGGCAAACCTGTCTCCCATGTGCTTTAAACCACAACCATAGCACAGATTGCTGTTATGTCTTGTACCCAGGGTGGGTGCAAGGCAAACTGAAGGATAGAATAGTGATCGCCACAGTTTTCTCCTGTGTGCAATCAGTGCCACTGACTTCAGAGATGTTTCACCTTGCTGCACCAGCATAGATTTTGCCTTCATGCGCTAGTAAAACACTTGTTGGTTTGGGGTGGTTTTGGACAAGACACCAACCATGCAGAGACTTTCAATGGCATTAAGGTTCTCACCTCCTTCTTGTTGCGGGATATTGCATTTGGATCTATCGATCCCAGGGACAGGTTTGGGAGAACCAAGTTGAGCACTTTCGCTGCAAAAACCTGTGGGAGAGGAAAGCAAAGCAGTTCAAGGGCTTGTGAGAGCAAGAGGGGGTAATGGAGAGGATGAGGCTCTGTGCTCATGGGAGGTGAAATAGCTGAGAAATGGCAACTGACACTGGAAAAAGATCTGCCCTACGCTTAAAGCATCTTAAAGAGAAAGTGTCTGAACTGCCCTCAGCCTCTGCACACATGCAGCATCACAACTTCATTGTGCTTTGCCTTCTTCTCTTTCTCAAGTTAACTTCTCCAAGGCCTCAGTTAAGCACTTTGATAGGAAAAAGCCATTTCCAGCCCTCAGAAGGGCTGGGATTTGTTGATTTATTGCCCTTTCCTCGCTGCCCCAGCTCTGATTTCAGGCTGCGGCGCATAAGTGATGCTTGGTGTGATTTGCAGTAGTTGCCTAGGCTGCGGTCTTCTTGATAAGCATATTCACTGGGGAGCCTGTAAATAAACAGCAGCAAAATGTGCCTGCATTGGCTAAGGAAATCCAGGGCTCGCTTGTCTCCTGGGAACGCAGCAAAAGCCTTCGGCAGGCTGGGAACCACTAGCTAGAAGAAAGGGTAAAGCCTTTTGTTTCAATAGCACTACAAGCACATTGCTACCAGGTTCTGCTCTGATCCTTGAATGCTGTCTTTAATGAAGTGATCAGCACTTAAGTCATAAAATACACCATTAGTGTTTGTTGGTCTGTTTTATGGCCCTCCCAGTTCCCAGCTACCGCTTGCAGGGAGGCTGTCACACATGGTCTCTGCTTCTGCTGATGCGCAATCACTTCTGGAGCAGTCCCTGACATTGCAGATCCCAGATGAGAGATGACAGAGTAATTATGATATTAAAGGAATAAAGCAAGGTTGAAGTCAAAGTCACTGGGGAGTGAAAAGCAATAAAGGCTCACAAGGAGGTTCGGGAACACGTGCCCCTTGACTGGATGTGGAACTTCAAGGTGACTTCATGACTTTTTGTGTTAGTTTAACTGATGGTACACGATGCACAGTGTAGACACTTTTCTTCCACATCTCAATGAAAAAGGAGGAAGCAGCAAGATCTCTCTCCAATTGGATTTGCAACTGGATGTTTCTATCCAGACACACGGCACCGATGAGGCTGCAAAGAGCAGAATCTGATCTTCCTGCACATAGGCTGGGCTGGTGGGGCAGAGGGAAGGTGTTTCTCAGGCAGACTGAAGGATTCAGTGTTGATCTGGCTGCTGTCGTTGTTGCCTTGAGCCCTCATTTGTTTAGGCCAAGGTAAATTCTTGCTCAGCTGGAAACTTCCCCAGCAAAGGGATGAATACAACGGTCCTTGGGAAGCTGCCCAGGGCCGAGGATCGTACTGGTTCCAAGGGAAAACCAAAGCCTTTGTGCCTCAGAGGAACAAACAGCAGTGAAGTGGGGTTTGGCTTTCAGAGGAAGAAACAGCACACAAGTGTTTTACGTGATCTATGGGAAAACAGGGCTTGCACAGGAATACCCTGCCTGTCTCACGCCTTCCTCTTGCAAACACCTTTGCAACGCCAGGACTGATTCAAGCTAAATTTGACAGAGCAGGGATATTATAAAGATGAGTTAATTTTGTATCGGTTTCGAGGTGCAGCAATGGATTTGAAAGAGAAAGCAGCTCAGCGTGCACTTGTATTGCTGTGTGCAAGAAACTCTTTAGGAGAGAGACCGTATGCGCACCTCAGAAGTCCTTCAGTTAGAGACTGGGATTTCCCACACTGACACAAAGCAACAATCTGGTGCAGTAATACCAGTTCCCAGAGAACTGGTGAGTCCTTATTTCAGGAAGGGTTTAGCATCTTCGTCTAGAAGAAGGAAAATCTTTCCCTATTTTCCTTGTCTTGACCAGAAGCAGAGGGTAAATCTCTGTGAATCACTCAGGTTTGGACCCTCCTTTTTTATTCTTGATATTTATTCTTCCTTTTCCAAAGTAAGGAATAACAGGGGCACTTATGGAACCCTTATGCTGGGTCAGGTATAGCCTCACCTGTGAAGAGTCAGCTCCCAGCCTCCTAAAATGCTGGTGCTCTGACTCCTATTTAAATGAGTTTTCCCAGATAGGGTGGCTTCAGGATTCACTTTTCCCCTCTGGAAAGTAGGTGGGACTGAGGGGGAGGCACTCAGAAGGGAAGTATTGATCAGCATCCAGGTGGTGCAGATCTCATCTGGGCTTTCCTTTTTAAAGCTAGGGGTCTGAAAGCCTTTCCTTCAGTGGAGGAGGGAGGTGGCTCAAAAGCACCTTTTGGTGCTCGTAGTGATGGGTGAGGTCAGTTGATGGCATTGGCGACAGCAGAAGGTGTGACAGGATTATACTGAGGCAATCTGTTCCTTTCACTCCAAAGGGGGAAAAACAAAGTAGGAGAAATAGTTTAGAAGTAGATAAAAACAAGAGGGAGAAGAGTCAAAGGAGAAAGGATAAAGGAATGAGATGCCTGTCCTTCCTGCTGGCTTAACTGGTCCTTCCCTTCGCTTCCAGCTCCTTTTAGGAATGTTGTTTATCCTTTTAAAGCTCCAGAAGGGAGGGGAGAGCTGAGGGTCAGCTCTCTGCAGAGCCCCCCTGGGGAAGGGCAAACCGGAGAGGGGGGAAGCCTCAACGCAAACCAGAGGAGATGGTCTGCACAAGAACCAGCTGCGGTACCAAGCCGAACGGGATGCTGCTGGGGCTGTGATGCTTTAGCTGGAAGCCTCCGTTGAGGCTCCAGAAGGATTGCTGGGATCCAAGAGCTTTAGTTTTGTTTCGAAAGTGGTCATCCCCCAAACACCAAAAATAACCTTGGCCTGACTTGCCTGTGTTGCGACTGTACCAGGCTCTGCATGAGTCAGGAAGAAAGCTGTAGGAGAGGAAGGGGAAGGATGGCACCGTGTGGGCTTCCGCAGGGTGTGGTGAAGAAAGCACAGGCTGCTCCCACCTCCTGAGGCAGCATCCCTACCCCACTCGCTCTTAAGTAAGTTGCTCTTATTTCTGCACAGGTTCAGGATTCACTTCCCCTCTGCAAAGCAAGTGGGGGAAGCACTCGGAAGTGACTGGCATCCAGGAGGAGCAGAGCTCTGGCATTTTAAGGCTAGAGGTCTCAATGTGTTTCCTCCAGCGGAAGAGCGAGGTGACCACGTGCAACACGGGTTTGCTCTTACCTTGATGGGAGTGGCGACTTCTGGGCTGGCTACCACTAAAGGAGAGATTAACAGCATGCCTGAAAACTCAGTGGGTCTCTCGCTGACTGTCAGGATGGAGATGGCTCCCCCCTGCAATGCAAAGGAACAGCCCACAGCTCAATACAGGTGTCAACACCTTTGTACAGTAATGCTGGTGCTGGAAGGGGTTTAGTCCAAACAAGCAAATTCTTTCTGCCCAGTGAGAGCGCATGGTGGTCAGTGAGGAAGGCTGCAGGAGTAAGGGCATTGGGGTATCTGGGTTTTATGGGGGAGAAGAGACCTGGTTTCTGTTCCCATGCTATAAACCCTTCCATCACACTGAACTCAACTCTCTATGCAATGTCCATCAGCTCCATAGGATGCCTTGTGTCCTCCTCAGTGAAAAGGACTGAGAAGAAATGTTTCAAGTGGTCGTTCAGGTGAGACTTAAAAAGTTGAGGCTCTATCAGTGTGATAGACTGGTGTTGCAGTGGGATGATGCTGTGGAGCCGGGCTCGTGCCATGCTTGCGTCTCTGGTAACCTGGGCAACAGCAAAGCCACCCCAAAATCCTCCCTAATCACTGCTAGTTCAGTGTTCTCCTCCTCATTGTTCCCAGCCCCACAGCGCTGTGCTCAGTGAGCACGCATCCCCTGGTTCAGAGCTGAACACGGGCCAGGCTGAGCCCCCCTGCACAAGGACAGGGCTGATGGGGATGGACAGGACCTGGCTTGCTTCCTCAGGGAAGTCTGCAGAGGATTAGTTGCCAAGGGGAATGTTTGGTGAACTTCCACCCTGCCGGAGAACCAGGGGCTTGTTAACTGCAGTGGCAGCGTGAAGCATCCCAAAGACCTCGCTGGGAAATCAGCTCCTTGTTAGCGCGGCTTTGGAGCACCTGGGAGCATGCCATGCCTTCTTATGGAAGAACACTTGTTTATCTGAGCATGGGCTGAATCCCAAAGTACTCATTCGTTTTCTTCTCCTTTGGGAAGGCAGAGAGAGCAGATCAATGACATCAGTGGGAATACTGCTGCCTTGAATAAAGGGATTTGGCCCGTGCTGTCAGAACCAGACTTGAGATCTGTTCACCAAATCAGTGCCTTTGTTTTTGCAGCCCTAATCCCTCGTACATTTCCCTCTTAGCTTGTTGAATAGAATGAGGCTACAGGGTATTTTCGTGTTTCATCCCCTCGCTGCTCACAGAGCTTTGGAAGGCTTAACCTCCTGGTTACTGGGGAAAATGAAAGGAGAAGCCTAATGCTGCAGGGATGTGGTGGGACTTAGCATATACCCTGTGTGAATGAAAGGTCCTATTAAATGTTAGACCCATTGTTGCAAACGGCACTAATTAGGACCATGATCCGGGCAGAAAAGTTAAGGATTGACTGTACTCCAGATGGATCTCATGGGGTAAGGCAAGCTGGCAAAGCAGGCAGTGAATGAAGCGGAAGGGAAGGTCGCTTGTGGCTTTGTTCTTCCTGCTGTGGGCTGAGTTCTTTACTTCCTGCCATCCACAAGAACACCCCCGTGCTATGGCACGTGTTCTGGTGCTGTGGGACGGATAGGGAATGGTGCTTACCATGGAGTGCCCCAGGATGAGAACGGGCAGCTCAGGGTGCTCCTTCTTCATGAGATCAATGTGCTGCAAGCTGTCCCTGATGAAGATGTGGAAATCTGAGACAACCATACGATCGCCCTCGCTCTGCCCATGGCCAACTGTAGGGGAAGAGAGCAGAGCACACATCTAAGTCATTCAAAGCAGCGGTTGCAGTAAGGGAGGGTTTTAACAGAATCATGCCTCTTGGACTGTGTCCTCACTTGACCTTCTCCTGCAGTCATCGCTCAACAGGAAGAGTGCTGCAGGAGTACAAAGGAAGCTGCACAGAGTGGTTTAAAAAGCACCATCCTGTCCACGGTCTGATGAAGAGAAATCTTAGATTCCCCTGTGTTCCTGCCTGCTCTTCCAAACTAAGAGTGAAGATCTAATCCCTTTGCACCCGTCAGGGTGAGGAGAGCAGAGGGGCTGTCTGGCCTTGCTGTAGAGGTGGTGGGTCACTGCATCCTGGGAAAGGGTTTTTTTTCCCCAGGGATCATAGCTGCTGGGGTCTGAGGGCTCACTGTACAGCAGTAACTGCTGTGCAGAGTCTTGGCAAGGCACAGAAATATTCCAAGCACTAGCTATGGAGCTATAAACTTCACGGGCCATGGACGCAGCCTTTTCCAGTGCCTGGGTGTGCAGGAGCTTTGCAGAGTCCTGCTTTTTCCTCCTGACACCCTGAAGCACTGCGTGGGCTCGAAACCTTCGCTGCTAGGAGGTGAAGTGCTCTCGGCAGAGAAGGACAAGGGACGGAGGCTGCAACAGCCTCCAGCAGTGGGTAAGTACCCAAACAAGAGCTAACGCAAACTGTGCCGCACCTGGGCACTGTGAGCTGGTTCTGTAGCTGGGTATTATCTTGTCTGATCAAAGGGAAGGGAAAGACTAAAACGGGAGCTGGTGAGTTGCTATGGGAACAGTGGCATCCCTGGCAGAGCAGGAGCCAGCATCGCCACCAACACAGTCCCAGGCAATTTTGAGCTTGCAAGGGCTTGAAATGAATAACCACCCTGGGGAAGCAGTTTGCATGTTCACCTGAGCACACGTACATGCTGCTATCTACCACAAATAGGAGTCTTCCTTACAGACAGTCTCCTTGCTCGTTGTTGGTCCACGCAGGTTGTTAAGGAAAACTGGGAATGGGAAAACACATCCCATCCATACGGGATAGGGTATTAGGGAGTCTCAGACATCTCCCTCCTGCTGTGTGTCTCCCTAGGCCTTCTCCAGTGGGCCCTTAGGCACACTTAAAGGCACAAAGGGACAATGACGTGTCCAAGGATGTGAAGTGCCTGATAATTGTTCTCTTGCTGGATGGTACCCCCGCTAGTGAGCAGCAAAGAAAAATTGCCCACCTAGCCTGAAAGGTACAGATCTGCTGGCAATATCGTGACAGAAGAAATCCGTGTGTCTGAACTTGATTTTCCTGTAAGCCAGGCAAAGAAAAGCACCCTGCAAACCAGGCAGAACGGCTAATAAAAAGCTGGACTAAAGACACTCCATCTAAGAAACACTGAGCCACAGACTTGTCCTTCTTTTGTCCTGCCAGGTGCTCTTCAGAGGTGGGAACACTGCAATCAGTCATGTTGGCTGCCAGGTAAACCCAGAGATGTCATGCTGTCTTATAAATGACGCGGTACTGGTTCTGCTTTCCATGCATACACCCCAATCCCTGCCAAAATGTGATCCAGCAAGTGCATCTGCCATGGCTCAGTGACCAGAAACAAATCAAAGAGCCAATTCAGATGCAAACTGTAATAGTCTAAGAAGCTATGTATGTGCTAGTGGGTCTATTAACTTTAAACTGCTTTTTATTACAGATGGAAAGCGAGCCTTCCCTAACTTTTATACTATCCATTCCACTCATTTTGTGGACCTTAAATGTGTTGCATCCCCCTTATTTAAATCTCAAATCTAGCAGGTTAATATGAGTTAAAGAGCCCAGAGAGAGGAACATTCCTCTTTGCAAAGCTTTGCCCTTCCAATTCTTTTTCTCCGGTGATGCTTGCACTTGTTTCTAGTCTCTCTTCAGTGTCTGTGTGAGACAGCTGAGCAAGCAGAAATAGCAAACCAGGTCTGTGCAGGCCATGATTCCCTGCTGTGGAGCTGTGAGGCTCTGCTCTATTTTTGGATGAGACAGAGACAGCTCTAGGAAGCCTCCTTGGTCCTCAGCATGGAGCCAATCCCCCGCTCTTACCATATACCAGTGATACTGTTCATAGCAGCCAGAGGTTGTGGGAGCCAAGAAATACCTCTGCAATAGCTGGGACAAGCATCAATCCTGGGGTTTTTATTAGTAACTTAATGAACCCACCTTTTGACCCTGCTTTTAACTATTAAATCACTGTTTGCCACCCAGGTGGCTCATAGCGATGCTTGAGGAGCAGTTTGTCGGCGTGTGTGGTAAAGGAAGGCCCTGCATGTCTTTGCTGTGATGCTATCCCAGTCCCTTGCACAGGGTTAGCTGGCTGGCATTGCTAGGTTCAATTCTTTGTATTTGACTGTTTTTCTCTCTTCCCCTCCAAGAAACCAGAGAATTCTCCACCAGAGAACAAGTTTATTGCAAGTTTGGATCTCCAAGCTGAGAAAGCTTCAGGGTAAGGAACTAAGACCTCTTCAGTTAGATGAAAGATGTGCACAACCAAGCATCAATACAGTCGAGAATATTGACATGTTTTTCTCTTTTGCCTTTGGGGGTATTAAGAATGAAAGGTCGGGTTCAGCCTTGATGTAAAGCTATTTGCTTTGGGTTTTGCTGGGTATGACTCTGACATAGCGGTTCCACAGTGCCGGTGGTGAGGCAGTGGGTGCAAGAAGAGGGGAACTGCCTGCACCCAGGAACTGGAACTAACCACATCCAAAGGAGACAACAGAGAAGTGTCATGAGAACCACAGCTCTGTGAGTTCCTCATCACAACACTTCCCTTGGTTTCAACAGGGCAACGTGAGGTCACAATCATGAGACGCTCCTCTCTAAAGAGCTGCGGGTGCCAGTGCACGTCCACATGGCACACTTGGTTTCCTGTCTATGTGGCTTCACATCCAGCTTGCAGTTAGCTTAGGGATGTCTCGAGGCATTACGGCTGATGGCTGTATTTATGAGCCCTACTTGAACTCATCTGAGTAAGGTTTTTGCACTCATACAGCACCCAGCACCTCAGGGCAGCATCACAGACCCTGGTCCAAGGTAGTGCAAGCTCTAAAAGTAATAATGAACTCTAATCCCAGGCTGTAAGGCAGTGTAGCTTTGCAGAGGAGGCGATGGGAGAAAGCACAGAGATGGAGAATGTGGGCGAGACAATACACCAAGCACTACTAATGGGTTCATCCAGCAAATGTTGAGAGAAGCTTTGATTTTCTGCTTGGGTGTTTTCTTAAGGTTTAATGCAAAAAATATATTAACAAACTAGTAAACAGTTTGAATTGTACCAGTTCACTACTGCACCAACCCTGCTTGTCTGCTAATGAGTCAAGTACCCATCCTTCTCATCAAGTGAGCAAAGCTCATTCATTAAACATACTGGATTGCAAAGCTCTCAATGTTTAATTGCTTGTTTAACAAGCAGCACATCTAATCCACCATTCAGACCCACAAACAAGTAAAACAACAGGAAGAAGCTTCAAAGCAGGACAGACAACATCTGGAGAAGTCAACAGCCTGTGCCTGCATTGTCAGTAGCAAAGCAAACGTTCCGCTCAGAACAAATACACACAGGAAGCACCTCTGAGTTCATCTGCACATTCCTACTCGACAAAGCGGCTTCCTTGCCCTGAGAACAGGCTTATCACAACAAGGGAGTGCTTTCTGCTTTTATTTTTCCTATCTTTTTCCATTCCCAACCAAATCGAGTCTGATGCCTGGAGGCATTCAGCACTGTCTGCCCCACATTTAAGCACTCTTCGTTTTGCATGGAGATGGACAGCAAAGACAAGGCAGAGACATCTGAATGAGAAGAAGCAGCACGAGATGTCCCAGGACTTGCCATGCTGCCTTGACTGTAGTAAAGCTGACACCTAGGTCAGCTACTGTGCTGAATCAGCCTTCTCTGTGCACCACCTCTCTTCCTCTCCGACAGCTCTGGTTTCCATAGGAAGAAAAAGCAGTGCTTAGGCTGGAAGGGAGCAGGTCCATGATCTGGACCACCAGGAGACAGGACCATGTGGCACAGTGTGGAGTAAACCTGCTCTGCAGCATTGACAAGCTTTACACTGTGCATATTTGGTCTAAGGCTTTTCCAGGACTACTTCACATCAGCATTAGAACCTAAAAGGAGAGGGTACCCTCTCATCACTGCTTCCATCTTTATGTTCCTTGCGGATCTGAAACCCCATGCTTATCCTTAGTAACTTTTGACCACAATTCTCCACCTGGGTAGTCCTCAGCATCCTTTCCTTCATACCACCTATATAGATACAGGGAATATGCTGGGTTTTCCATGATAATAGGCACATTATAAACCCACTAGATATGGTACCCAAAGAAGTATCTTTCCACCCTTGGTGTTTTATCTGTGGAGCATGTAGCTAAGAATTACAGGCAGATTCTGCCTCTCTCTTACCAAAAGGGAGTCGTACCCTGGACACAGAAGTCCGTCAGCTTCCCTCTTCCTCCCCAGGCTTAGGAAAATCATTTTCCTTTCGGCATTTGCTGGATAGCTTTTATTCACTTGCCTCACACAAAGGGTGCAGCAAACTGCAAGCCGCCTCCTCCCACATCGGAGGCACATTTGCAGAACTCAGATATTTTTAGCATGGTGCATACACACACACACAGTTATATTGTTTGTTGTCTTGGTTAAGGGGGAAAAAAAAAAGGAACAGGCAATTTTCCACACTAAAATGCTTTGTGCCTTCTGCTGGGAGCAGGGAACGGGTCAGCTTGCTGGAGCCATCGGGAATCTTTTCTGTACTCCAAAGATGACAAACAAAACGACCTGGTGCATGTCACAGCAGTGGTTGAGTCTGCCCAACAAGGCAAACTGTTGTTGTCAATGTTAGCAGTCAATTCATGCCTAATGGATACAAGCGCGGTTCCTTTGGCTTTAGAAGCCTCGCCTGTTCCTTCTGCTGTTGCTGAATTTGGCTCTGATTTGCAGTTCCTTAAAAGTCTTCCTGGAACATCATGTTGCTCATGAAAACCATGCTGAAAAACCCCATCTGGGTGTGTTGCAAAATCACGAGTCCTTCGCAAGCTGCCTTTACAAACAGCAGCCACTGCGGCCAGAGCAGGAATGTAAGTGTCTCTTGGGACATGTAATGAAAGGGGATTAAGACAGTGTGAAAGCCTGCATATACCACAGTCACCTCCCACACTGTCTGGAGCTTTGTCATCCCTATCCACCAGGATGCTGTTTCATGGCTGGTAGGAGCTAAGCCCCATGACAGAGGAATACGGAGCCCAGTTCCTTTTCCACAAAGTCCATAGACAGCCGTATTCTCCTTTCTTCTTCAGCCCCTTCTGCAATGCCACCTCCCAAACCAGCCCTCAAGAATACTAAAGCAAAAGAGAGCTAAACGGAATGCCCTTCTCTGCGGGGCTGCTGGGATCAGGGGTTTGAACACACTGCACGGAGCTGGCATAGCTGGTTGAGCAGCCATTGAGCTCCTCTGCAAAAGACTTTCCTTTGGTGATGGGTGAAATGATTCCTATCTAATCTCTTTTCCCATGGGTTGAAAACCACAATATAAATGTAAGATATCTAATCAGTGAGGCACAACGTATGGTGCCTCTAAGGAGTCTTATAATCTGGCACTAAGTGATTATATTTAAGGCCCTAGAATAACTTTTCACTGTTATTCTTGCAGTGTTGCACTGAGATTTTGCCTTCTTTCATGAGGAGCAGATCATTTCCTACAGTATCATTGAGGTGACTTGGTTTAGCATCAAAGTAGCTTTTCAAAGACTTATTCTGCCATGACATTGAACCAGCACCAGTGCTTGGGTACTGCAGAAAAGATCGCACGGACTTTGCTGGAGTTAATCCAGGGTCTCCCGTGTTCACTTGACCTATTTGTTGCTGATCTTTTAAGAACAGAGAAGAGCTTCTTTTCTGCTCTCTGCTTACGACTTAAGACACCACTAATGTTAGCCAGAGTTTCACTGGGAGAGGAGAGCAGCCAAGGGCAATCTCCCTTCTCTTTTAATTTAGCTTTAAAATCATATACAATTTTCTTACCTTGTTTTAGTACCATAAAATCCCCCTAAAAGGGTGCAAACTTTACTTTTTCCCCTGACAAAACCAAGGTTGCAAATCCACTCGCATTAACTTCCTGGTCCAAGCTCCACCTTTAGAACAACTGAGGCACCAACTCAAGATGTCCAATTTTTCCATGGGACAGCCAGCGCTGGAGCGGAACTGCACAATCCCCTTCCCTGCCCATTGATTCCAAAGCACGACTGGCATGTGGGTTTGGCTCTCCGACACGCACATGCTATTAAGTCCTAAATGACAGCTTGTTTAACTAGAAAACATTTCCATTTTCCCCTTCACAAAGGCCATTCATTTCGTGCTCTTCTATTTGCTTTAAGACGGTTTCATTTGCCCTGCCTGAGAGTTTGCACAGCCCGCCTGATTGTTCCCCTCCAAAGAGAGCTGCAAGTTAATGACCCACCTCTTGATCCCTTGAGCAGGAGCCTTGCCCAGCACGCTGCTGCATCGCGAGCGAGCTCCTCGCATTGCAAGCTCCATACGTGTGCCTTGAGTACGGCCATGCTTGAGAAAACAATCGCATCAATTCAGCTCAGGGACGACAGGCCTAATTCTTCCCTGCTAACAGTAGATTAAGCATCAAGAACAGAAGATGAAAGCTAGCTCATGTAAGAACTCCCTCCATGCTGCTGACAAATGTCTTGGGGGACAGGCACAACTCCCTTTCAAGCTATCTTCAAAAGGTTCCCCTCCGTGCAGACCACCCATTGGGAACTCACATCAATAACAAACACACAAAAAACCCACGATTTAAAAGACCCATTTCTTCACCCAATTTATTTACATGTTAAAATAAACACGAGTTCCCGTATGGAGCAAGGGCTCCCACTGGGTTCTGTTTAGTCTGTGAGATTCTTGGCACTGGAGTACAGCGTTTCCCTATTCCAAAGCAATCTTGGCACTGCTTTTTTTTCTGTTATATCTTTTTTTTCAGCAACTGGCAAATGAATAACAATAATCATGATGCTTCTATAAAGAGGGAATCACTTCCTAAGGCACCGGCAAGGTGTTGGACCAATTAATCCTCCCAAAGCTCATTAGCAAAGCAGAGCTCCCAAAGTCCTGCATTCAGGATCAGTTCTCCCCACGGGTCGCACTTCCAGTTCTCAATCAACCTGTCCAAAGGGAGCTTTCCCACAGAGCTAAAGAGATTGTTGCTCTTTGCTTCCCTCCTTCACATCACCACATGGCAGTGCCACCCTCATTAGACGGGATTTGTCCCCGTTCCTGACAAGACACGAAGGGAACACCGCTCTTCAGAGCTGATAGCTTTGTATGCCCACCTTGCACAACCTCAGTGGGTGAGTGGCAGGTGGATTACTTCAAATAAGGGCAGGCTTGCTTTTGCTATACCCACACAGAGCTGGAGCTCCTCAAACCCTGCCAGACCTGCTCAGGAGCAACACAATTAAGAAGAACCCTTCTGATGAAGCAGGTCTGGCAGGGAGCATTCCTGGATGG